CACAAGAGAAGTACACAGTGTGATGGTTTGTTCTAAAAGTTTGGCTAAAAGAAAGTAGTTGAATAACAATAGATGGAAGGGGTGACAGGTTCAGGTGAAGGTATTTTAGGGATAAAGAATGTAACATTTTCTGGCAAAAAAGAAGTTAGTGGAGAAAAATTTGCATTTCATCTGGAGGTATTCAGCTTGTGTGGAGGTGGTGTAAATGTTGGAATAAGCCCTTGAAAATATTTTACATATTTAGCTTCTCAAACCAACTTCATTTTTCCTCCCATCTATTATGCCACTGTGCAACTGAAATGAAGAAATTAATTAGCGCCTTTTTTTAGGATCATTTTTTCCTTCACTTAGCCAATGAATATATGAGAGTGATTTCAAGGGAATTCAGGGACTATTTTGTTTTCCTTCCCCTTTAATAAGTTGAGGAAAGTTTTCCATAGCAGCAAAAGTGTGACAAATCCCACCTGTCAGACTGCACAAATAAACAACTGTTCATGTAACCATATTCAGGTTTTTCTACTTTGCTAGTAAAATTAGTCTGAAGCTGTGCTGTTGTTTTTCAAGAAAGCCAGTTTGTTTTACATTTTGTTCCCTTTCCAGCTCTTAAATCTAATGGCTTTCTATTACAGAAACACTAGTGCCAGAGAAGTTATTTTCAAATATAGAGTCACCTTACACAAGTGTCACCTTAGGCAACTACCCAGAATTTGTGTGTAAATGGGTACTAGTGCCTATCAGTCAGAAGAATAGAATTAGGAAGGTATATGAACCGTTGTGAACATTTAAACCAGACATTTGTTCCAGTCATCCAATCACAGAGACACTACTGAGGATATTGCAGTGAACTTCTTACTGGTCTTCTTGAACTCGACATTTAGAATGAGGTCAACTCCACGCTTTCTCAAACTTCCTTTCTCTTTACTTAAGAAAGTTTCTTAACACTGTAAGCTCAGTTTCCTGTCTATAAATGTTGTGTGAGGAGAGAGGGCAAAGCCCTCCTGCTTCACTTCGTGACAGTTGTGTACTGCTGAGTCTGAACCAACTCATAGTTGACCCTCCAGCAGGTTTTCAGAGACAGTCACTCACATGTGAGGAGATTACCCATCCTTCTCCCTCAGAGCAGCTGGTGAATTTAAACCACACATCTTGGAGATTGCAGTACAGCTTCTTAACACTAGGCCACTAGAGCTCCCTCATCTTTACATAGGGTTGATAATGATATCTATCTTATTTGGGTCATCAGGAAGACTAAATGGGAAAATCTTGTCAAAGAGCATTAATTTTGCTGATCGTGTTGCTACCCATAGCAACTCTATGTACAGTAGCTCTGAAGCCTGCCCTGTACTGAGCCTGTCTCAGTGATTGCAACACACCAGACCTCATTGCCCCAGTTACTGTATCAGTCTGTCTCATCCAAGGTCTTCCTCTCCTGCGCCATCCCTCCACCCTTCTGAGCATGATGTCCTTCTCTAAGAATCAGTCCCTCCTGGCCAAATGCCTAAAGTATGTGAGATAGAAAGCAAAATCCTAGGCTCCAAGGAGAAACTTAGTTTCATACTCTCTAAGACAGACCTGTTTGTTTTCTTAGCAGTCCACTGTATGTTCAGTACTCTTCTCCAGCACCACAACTCAAAGGCAACAATTCTTCTTCTGTCATCCTTAGTCATTGTCCAGCTCTCTGATGCATACCAAGTAATTGTGAGGGTCATGGACCATCATCAGGTGCACCTTAGTCTCCAGACTGACATTGTTGAATTTCAGTACTCTGGAGAGATCCCTGACAGCAGAATTTCCCAGTGCAATTTGTCATTTTATTTCATGTCTGCTGGTACCAAGAGTGTTCATTTTGGAACTGAGTAAACTGTAATTGTTAACAACCTCAATCTCTTCTCCATCCGTCATGGTACTTCTAATTGGCCCAGTGGTTAGAATCGTTGTCTTCTTGATGTTGAGCTTAAATCCATATTTTACTCATTCCCTAACATTTACTGGAAAAAAGCAAGAATTTTGAAGCTCCATTTCACATACTTTGGGCACGTGGCCAGACCACATCATGCCTGGAAGGGTGAAGGGACTGCGCAGAAAACGAAGACCCCACATGAGATAGATTGACAAAGTAACTGGGATAATGGGGGTAGATGTGTCAGAGACAGTGAGACTCACTCGGGATAAGGCATGGTCACTCAACTATACATAACACCTGGGCGGGGGGGACGTCCTAACTCCATAGCATTCAAAGAGCGTCCCTCTCTTGAGACCTGTCATCTTTTTAAGCATTATTTTCTACATTTATTCTCTGGTTTAACAAATCTGAGCTGTATAACACTGTTGTGATTGTTGAGTGTCATTGACTTCACTGTGACTCATAGTGACCCTATGAAGAACACATTGGAGCTTAGCCCTGTCCTAGTCCATATAACATTATATGTCTTTTCATAGATCCTTGCCATTGACTCATTAAATGGAAAAAAATTTATTCTTGGTCACTTAGTAAACGACAGTTTATTCTTCTTGACTCACTGATCCTTCTCTTCCTGCCTGTCCCCTCCCAAAGTATAACTGGTTTCCTTCCTCTCTCCACCTTTGTCACTAACAGTACTTAAATTTGTTAGCATGTGTCTTAATTATCTAGTGTTGCTATAACAGAAATACTACAGGTAATGGCTTTAAGAAAAGAATTTCTTTTCTTGGTTTAGGAGACTAGAAGAAGTGCTTGGTTTAGGGCTACAGCTGTAGAAGAATGCTTTTTCTCTCTGTTGACTCTAAGCAAAGATCCCTGTCTCTCCAGCTTATGTTTCTTGGTTCCTTGAAGTTCTCTGCGTGGCTATGCTTCTGTCTCCCCCAGCAGTGCTTCTTTGCTTTATCTGGTCTTTTTAAATATCAAAATAGGTTGAATCAAGGTATACTTTATACAGTCTTACAACAAAGAATTTCATATCCAAATAGGATTATAACTACAGGTATAGGGGTTAAAATTTACAGCATAGATTGATTTTGAATAGAGGCATAGTTAAGTCTGTAGCAGAAAATATGGCATTATTTCTAACTATTTGCATATCTAACTTCTCTTGCTAAACAGGGAATTCTTTGTGGACAGAACTCTTATCACTGTGTCCCCAGAGCCCACCACACTACCTGCAAAAGAAGGCTTTCTTTATGGTGGTTACTTTTAAGTGAATTATCCCACTGCAAAACTAGGACTGTATAAACCATAAAAAGAGTTCCTCTTTTTTTCTTCTTTTAAATTAATTTGAGATACTTCATCTGTCATTTATGGTTTTCATTTGAGTTTTGAAGGAACAAATTCGCTCAGTGATACATTGTACTAAAACCAGCTTCAATTAAAACATTGCTTTTTATGCTTTAAACATGACCAATATGACAGTATTACTCACTCAAACGTTCATTGTCATTGAGTCAGACCCGACTCATATCTGACCCTCCAGTGGGTTTTCAGAGACTGTAAATCACACGAGAGAAGACTGCCCATCTTTCTCCTTGAGAACAGCTGGTGGATAAGAACTGCCTGCCTTTGGGTAGACAGCACACCTCCTTAACCATTAGGCCACCAAAGCTCCCTGTGATGCTAAGAATGGTTATTGATAAGTGCAGTGGATTTCATTTACACCTTATTCTCTGACATTTTCTTTCTAGTTCAGCTCCCTGGACCAGCACCTAACATCCGAGCTTACGCAAATTCACCCACTTCCATCACTGTCACCTGGGAAACACCATTGTCTGGCAATGGGGAAATCCAGAATTATAAATTGTACTACATGGAAAAAGGGACTGACAAAGAACAGGTACAAAATAAGACCATTTTTCAATCCATTTGTTGAACTAGTAGAGCTGAAGTATATTTCTGAAACTTAATATTCCTTGGCTAGAAATCTGAGGGAAAAAAGATTAGGAAATTGAAAATGGAGTCTATTTCTTGTTACTAAAGTATTCCATAGTCTCTACCAGCAGGGGTCACTAAATATTAAGCAAATTTCTAAAGCCAGTTGACAATGCTCATGATGCATCTACTTTGACTGTTTAGTTCTTTTAGTTATAGAATTTGTATAGTAAATTATTTCTTTTAAAGCATTTCTCTTGGCTTGAGTCATAGATATAGAAATTATTTTCTTTTATTCAAGGATGTTGATGTTGCAAGTCTCTCCTACACCATCTATGGATTGAAAAAATATACAGAATATAGTTTCCGAGTGGTGGCCTACAATAAACATGGTCCCGGAGTCTCCACACAAGATGTTGCTGTTCGAACACTGTCAGATGGTGAGCCTTTTTTCCCCTGTGAAACAAGTATCACCCTTAGTACCCTGGAATTATAGGTATTACGATCACAGGCATTGATGTGAAGAAGATTGAATTCAAACTTCAGTTTCTCTACTTTTTGGAAGTAACTTTCGTCAAATCACTTAACAGTTCTGAGCATGTTTCCTTACATATAAAATGTAGACAATACCAACTTTATAGGGGTTGCTATAAGGATTCCCTGAAACCATACAGCGTTAGAGTGACCAGCACTCTAGGAAGCTTATTAATCTTAGTAGAAAGCTTTTTTTGTAGGTAAATGCTATCAGTAAATGCTATCACACAGACCATTCCAGAGCTGTTGGAAGGGTAGTCTTGCCATGGTTAAATGATTGTATTTATATGTGTGGTTGTGGCTGTGTGCCATTGAGTCAGCCAACTCATAGCTGACCCAGTAGGTTTTTAGGGGCATTGGGTTGCACAGGAGAAAATTGCCCATCCTTTTCCTACAGAGCATCTGGTGGATTCAGACCATGTACCTTTGAGATTGCAATACAATTTCTTACTATTCAGCAACCCGAGCTCATTTTTTTTTTACTATTTTGTGGAAATTTCATTTCTTAACCTGTAACTGTCTGGATTTCTAAGATAAATGTTAAAAGTGTACCTATGTGCTTTTCAGAGTTTAGATTTTCTAAAAGATTGAATGAATTAGAACCAGCATTTTAAAAAAAACCACACACCACCGAACATTCATTTTTTAATAAGATAAACAATATCAGTGTTCATTGCACTTAGTTGTTTATGAAACCATTATTTTTCTTAAAAATGAATTATTTTTGTTTTTGTTGTGTACCTTTGAGTACTGAAGAGCAGTGTTACTTCAGAGACCAAGGTGCATCTGATACTGGCCATGGTCTTTGCAATCACTTGCTATGCACCAGAGAACTGGACAATGACTAGGGATGATAGAAGGAGAATTGATGCCTTTGAGCTGTGGTGGTGGAGAAGAGTACTGAATATACCATCGACTACTAAGAAAACCAACAGGTTCATCCTGAAGAGGGTTAAAACAGGCTGCTCCTTGGAGGCAAGGATTCGGAAGCTTCGTCTGACAGCCTTTGGACATGTTGCAAGGCAGGACAAGTCCCTGTAGAGGGACATCATGCTTGGGAGGGTGGAGGACAGCTCAGGAGAGGAAGACCCTTGATGAGATGGATTGATTCAGGACTGGCGTAATGGGGGTAAGTGTGTCAGAGACAGAGAGATTGGCACAGGATAGAGCAGGATTTAGGGCTGTTGTACATAGGATCACTATGAGTCTCAGGCAACTCAACGGCACATAACAGCAACAACCTTAGAGTTGAAACTGACCCATAGCTGAATCTGGTGGGTTCTCAGAGGCAGTTAATCAGGAGGATATCCTGTGAAGCAGCTGGTGGATTTGGTCTGCATGCCTTCAGGACGGCAGCACAGGAAATAATGTGTATATATGAAAATAATCCTTAAATATAAGCGCATGTGTTTTTTCAAAATTTTACTAGTTTAAGAGATGGCCAAACTTAAGTGTCAGCAAGTAAAGAAAGAGCCTGACATCATGTGTCACCCAGTGTGATGCACTGATAAAGACATAGCTTCACCTATCCCTTCCAAAAGTGTTTCATTCTGATAATAATGAAACTACCAGATAAATCCAAATTGACAGAATCTCTAGGGGCAGAAAACTGACCTGGATTCTTAAAAATGTATTAGTCTCAAGTGTTGAGGACAAGTGTGAGGAATCATTCTAGAATCTAGACTAAAGTAAACTGAAGAGATATGAAACATAATGTGTAGCATATGATCTTTGAATCTAGTTGTAAAAACAACTATAACTAATATTACTAGTATAGATATTTGGTACTAGATAATGTTGTTATTATTTCTGTGTACCATCCAGTCAGAAATGACTCAGAGTTGACCATCCTAGCTGCTTTGTCAGAGGCTGTAAATCACATAGGAGATGACTGCTCATCTTTCTCCATTGGAGGAGCTGATGGATTCAGACCACTTGCCTTTGGGTTGGTAGCACAGATACTTACCACAAGAACACCAGAACTCCCTAGATATTTATATAGTGTCAGATAATATTAAATATATTGTTAAGACCTGAAGTGCTTGTTGCAGAAGGTCAAGGACTGTAATCTTCCATATGGATTAAACCTCAACATCAAGACAAAGATTCTCACCACTGGGCCAATTGGCAGCACCATGATGGATGGAGAAGAGACTGAGGTTGTTAACAGGTACAGCTTGCTCGGCTCCACCATTAGCACTCTTGGCACCAGCAGTTAGGAAATCACAGGGCAAATTGTATTAGGTAAATCTGCTGTCAGGGACCTTTTCAAAGTACTAAAATGGAACGATGTCAGTCTAGAGACTAAGGTGTTCCTCATCCAGGCCATAGTCTTTACAATTTGCTATGTATGCATCAGATTTGGACAGTGACTAAAGATTATAGAAGAAGAATTGATGTCTTTGATCTGTGCTGGAGAAGAGTCTTGAACATACCATGGACCATGGACCATCAAGAAAACAAATAGGTCTGTCTCAGAGAGAGTGAAACCAAGTTTCTCCCTGGCGGCTAAGATTTTGATGCTCTGTCTCACATACTTTGGGCATGGGGCCAGGAGAGATTGGTCCTTGGAGAAGGACATCATTCTCAGAAGGGTGGATGGACAGTGCAGGAGAGGAAGACTCCAAATGTGGTCTAGTTTATCATTTTGTACCAATGTTAGTTTTTAAATCCTAATAAATCTGCCAAGGCCATGTAATATAGTAACATTAGGAGAAGCTAGTTGAAGGGTATTAAGACAGCTCTGTAGTATATCTGAAACTATTCTGCAAATCTATTACTTCAAAATTTTAAAAAGTTTATTAAATTTTGTTTTGTTTTCTGAGGGGGGGAAAATGTTAAATCTATATATGATCCAAATTGTAACTGGATTAATATCCACTCCCCGTCACAGGAATTCATGGTGCCTTAGCATTCTTTTAAAGGCCTTGATTCCTACACCAGTTGAGAGAGACAATGAGTTTGGCAAGTTACTTAATTGCCCCCAACCTAATCTGTACTTTTCTCATCTGTCAAATAGCAATAAAATAGAAATGTATTTGTTGGATTGTTTTGAGGATTTCATGTGAAACAAATGTAAAGCTCTTAGCAGTACCTTCAATGTAGTGAGCAGTCAGCAAATCTTAGCTGATGCTAATATGGTAGTAACAACTATATTGGGAGCTGTTGCAATTAAATGAGAGTTCTTAACAGGGATATATGATTGGAGCCAATCTACATACAAGTACCTAAGCATCCTAGTCCAGATGTTTTTCAGTTTATGTACTACAAAAATAAGTAAGATACAGTCTTTGGCCCCGGAACTTATAGCATAGTGGGCACTTAGTAGTGCTAGGCCTGATCAACTGTCAGAGGGGAGAGATCCTTTTCCACCTGCAGATTAGGAAAGAAGGACTTGAGTTAGCATTTTGTGAACAGAAAGGAAACTAATTAGGCTTGCTTAAGTTTTCTTTGCTTGTCATAGTCACAGGGAAGCGAGCTGCTGAAAAGTGGGTGGCCATTAACTTTGAGATGCCCCTGCCTTATGTTGTGAAATGTGAAAAGTAAAGTTATACAGCTGTTTGTCTCAGAATTCTCATGTCTAAATGAATGTTCCTTGCTTGCAGTTTCCTTGTGAAACCAGATGGCTCGCTTTACTGAAGTTGTCATTGCTTAAATATCTCTTTGCTTTACTTGAGTATTGCATTCAGAACCAGCTCAGGAGGCCCATAAGACAGCCAAGTTCATTGATTTATGTACATCTCATTTTGGACTCCTAAAGATATTACCCAGTTCATTCACTCATCATATTCATCAGAATTTGTTCCCGAGAATTTGTGGCTCTTACCCAAGACGAAAATAATTGTCACTAAGAATATTCAAAATGTTCAGAATGTATCTGAAGGAAGAATCTAGACAAGTTTAAAGCCCCTGACAACATCCTTGAAATAAATATCTAACTTCCAATGGTGCAAACTGACCTTGGAATAGGTGTACACTTATGAATGTGTGTGATTTAATTTTCAATGACTCAAATCTGATAATACCTCATCATTATAGTCCTTTTATCATAAAGGTATGGCAATTAGCTGTAGACCATCTGATTACATAATTAGTGTTTGAAATGCGCATTTGTGTGACATGTGGTAGCAGAAAAGCCCTCATAATTGGAAAAAAAAAACATTTTTTTCACTTTTTTTCTTTTCCCTGTCTAGTTCCTGGTGCTGTTCCTCAGAATCTGTCCTTAGAAGTGAGAAATTCCAAGGTAAAACTTCATATTGTTACTGCTCACTTTTACTGGTTTGTTATTGAACCTCTGAAATGCTTACAGAGAAGGAGAGTCTATAAAGAAACTTACCAAAGCAAATAAATACCAATGTAATAATAATAATTTACTTTTAAAAGTACTAAACATGTAAATTATCCCAGAACTGAAAAACAGTCATTCAAAATGAAGAAGAGAAATAAGGTCATACAAGTATTAAATTTGCCAGTGAAACTGGGCATAGATATCATGTCTATATTCTATGAAATGTTACTGCCTTTCTCCGATGCAAAAAATTGCTTTAGCTATTTTTCAGATCAATTATCATTGTTATGAAAATCATTACATTCTAGAAGTTACTGGCCAAGGACCTTGATAGTTTATGATCACATAGTCCCTTAGGAATATGAGATGAACTAGTACAAATCCAGTGCAGACATCTGTCAGATTGCTTCCAAGTATTCAAACATTCTTCCTGACAAAGCTGTTGCACTCTCTATATATCTAGGCCATGTGTGTCTCTCAGAGGCCCAGGGCCTCTTCTGGGCTCTAGTCGACCTGAGATAGGCCTTGAAAAGGACTCCTTTTCCACTCTAGGAAACAACCAGCTGCTAACTTAATGGTTGCTTTGTTGAAGAGTGGTAGATAAAAATAGCTTAATTTCAACAATTCTAAACTAGAAATGGGGGGGAGGGAAACTATATATCTAGCAATCATTTACTTCCTCATCTGAGCGTATGCCTCTGATCTTATATTTTTCTCCTGACTGTTTTGAGAGTTTTGCCCAATGTCTCCATTTTTATAAAATAGCCAAGAGATCAAAGGCCCGAGTCTCATTACACTTATAGATCATCTTCTATCTGATCTTTGAGAGTTTTCAGATGGAACGGTATTTTTGCGTGATTGTTGAACAACTTTGTAAAAAACTGTTTGTGCACTCTGATGCCTTTCTTTCCCTTTTCCACAGTCAAGTCAGGGCAGTAATGCATGAGACAGTTAGGACCTAACTTTGATATGTTCATTCACATCCTCTTCGTCTTCTCTTTTTCCAGAGCATTATGATTCATTGGCAGCCTCCACCTCCAGCCACTCAGAATGGACAGATCACTGGCTATAAGATTCGGTACCGAAAGGCCTCCCGAAAGAGTGATGTCACTGAAACCTTGGTAGCAGGGACACAACTGTCGCTACTGGTTGAAGGTAATCAGTTTTGCACATAGGCAGCAACAGCTAGATTGCACTGCCTTTCTCAGACACTGTGTTCTACTCATGTAGTGACTTTTGAGAGCTCTTGACTTACACAAGCAAAAATATTTTAATGGTTCAATCTATTTCTGACTCAATACACATTAATGAGAAACTCTCAATAATGCAGAGATTCTATCTCTGATTAATGAGAGTGTATTAGATTTTACTTTCCAGTGTTTTTGTGTATTTTCTGGCTTTTCGTTTTTGAACATGTAGTACTTTTGTAGGGAGATCTGAATGCCTCATAGGTAAGGAATTGTGCTGCCAACCAACCCACAGGCAGGTGTTTCCAAGTCCAGGAACTGCTCCATGGAAGAAGGAGGGGCAGTTTCCTCCCCTGCGATTTACAGCTTCCCAACACCCACTGGAGGGTCAGCTGTCATCAGTTCTGACCTGAGGGCATCTAATGACAGAAGTACTTTTTTTTTTAATAAGGCCTTCCGGAAAAATGTGAAAGACCTGCTAGACAAATTCGAAAAGAACTGTATGTTTTTGATATAACAAGAGGTAGGAAAGAAAAAATATCTCGTTGGTAACAAAGAAAGGGCTACAAAATTATTTTTATAAAGGTGACACCATTTGAGTGTTAGTAGGCCTCAATCAGTTTTTTGTATAACTGCATCATTGCAATAATTATAACTGCTGTGGGCAACTGTAACATTTTATAGAATTCTGTCTGAGATAGGTTCTTTTGTGTTGCTTTTTTGTATGTACAACAAAGCAAGGGGCACACCTGATAAAAAGGTGTCCAGCACATATTGAATGTGGTGTCCTTGCAGATCAGAGTGAATCTCCCTTCATTTTCCCTCCAGGAGGAAAGTAGAGTTGACTGGGCAAGGGAAGTGTGGAGTGAGCATGGGAGGAAGAGCATGGGAGTGAGATTGAGTATTTTCACTCACTTTTGATGGTAAAACTTTGATAATAGAGAATAAAGGCAGATGCCTCTCAGCTATTCTTACTCAGAAGCGGTGGACATAGATGTTTAATATGTCTGCAGAACTGACCTTAGTCTGAGCAGAGCCCATCCACCCCATCCCTGCCTTAGTTAACAATGCCCAGATACATCTAACCTTCATTATCTTAGTTCAGTAACTCAACACTTACATGTTTCATAAACGAGTGGAAGAATCTGAGTCTAGTATGGTTACATCAATTAAGTGTTATTGCTGTGCAGTAGCAGAGGTGCAGGTTCAGTCATGAGCTCCAACTCTGTTGATTTTGCTGAACATTTGTTGAAAATGCATACAAGAAGTAAAGGTTGTTGCTAAGTAGGTGCCGTTGAGTTGGCTGTGATTTGTAGAGACCCTGTCGGCAGCCGAACTATCACAGTCCCGCCGTGTGCCTCCTCACGACCGCTGCTGGGCTTTATCCATTGCTGCGGCGACTGTCCTTCCGTCTCACTGAGGGGCTTTCTCTTTTCTGCTGTCTCTTTTTCAAAGCTTGATATTCTCCTCAGGATATTATCATTATTACCCAAACCCTGAAAATTAATTTCCTCATCCTTTCAGAGTGATAACTTTTCCTCGTACTGTATCCCTCCTGGATAGACAGTAAAAATATAGGATTCTGGAAACTTGGCATCAGCCTATATCCCGTTTTCCTATATCCCCCGAGACTATATTGATAGAACCAAGAGATAGAACCATCTGCAGTTTGGAAGTGTAATTCCTGAAGTTTAAAAGTGTAATTCCCTTCTTTGATAGGTACAAGTTTCTAAAAGTTGCAAGAGCCACTGACAGGGAAGAAGCTGTGCTCTAGTCATCCAGCTTTTCTCCTCACACTGTTTACCTCACAGAGGGTTGACTAATTCAGATTAGAGATGAACACCTGGTTCCAAGGGGTCTTCTTTACATTCCTCATATGAATCCCACATCTGTAAGCTGCAGTGAGGAAAACATGGCTGCAGTAGGTGTTCCCAAGCACCTCATTGAGGCAACATTGTAATAAAATCAGTCAGGGATGTTTTCTTAAGTCATTTTTTAGTTTAGTCTGATAGCAGGAAATAGCATTTCCCAGCTGTGACACATTTATTTTTAATATCTAATGATACATATCTACCATTTTTATATCTAATGGCTCAGGATAGGACAGCGTTCAGATCTGTTGTTCATAGGATTGCTCTATACTCGACTTAATGGCACCTAACAAAAACAAATGGTAAATGTACATTCTAACAGGTTTTGTTCTTGGTGCTGATAATAGAAGAATACAGCTGTCCATGAGGTGACCTTAATTATTTTTCTCAATGAAACTAACCCATAGCTGACCCTCTGACGAGTTTTCAGAGGCAGTTCATCGCACAGGAGGAGATTGTCCATTCTTCACCCATAGAGAAGCTGGTGGCCTTGAACTGTGTGCCTTTGAGATTGCAGCACAGCTTCTTGCCTAGGCCACCAGAAGCTTATGCTGAACAATAAATGATACAATTAAGCTACATTTTAGCTGAAAATACTTGTTTTTTTGTACCACTCTTGTCTTAAGGTACTGAACACAGTCTACCATCCTTTTAAATCATGTGTTGTGTACTCAAGTAAATGACTCTTCTCGTGACTGCTCACTCACTCACAGATAGGATTGGCCTCATTCAGAATAGAAGAGGGATACTTTGGTTCAAGAATCTCTTTACTGTGCTGCTTTAGACTATCAACTCTGTAGGTTACTTACCAAAAACTTACTGCCGTCAAGTTGGTTCTGACTCAGAGCGATCCATTGGTTTTCCGAGGCTGTATATCTTTATGGAAAGAGACAAACTGCAACTCTTTTCATTAGCAGCCTGACAGGGCTTCTTGTCATTTGCTTTAGGAAAGAGAAAGTCTTGCCCTCTTTACACATACTCTCAGTGCACTCCCTTATTCTTCCTCTTACATGCTAACCTGTCTCCAGAGAAGTTGTTGTTGTTGTTGTGTGCCCTTGAGTTGAAACCATCCCATAGCTGAACCCTCCAGTGGGTTTTCAGATTCAGTAAATCGCACGGGAGGAGATCTATCCTTGTCCAGCAGAGTAGCTGGTGGATTTGCATCATGTGCCTTTGGGATTGCAGCACAGCTTCTTACCGCTAGACCGTCAGATGATAATCTGATGGTTGCATTCTTTCTGGACCTTGACTGAGCCACTTTTGTTGATCGTTCAGGTGACTGTCTGTCCAGTGTATGTGAGGAGGTAAACTGACTTGGACCCAGGTATTTTGCTGCTCCATCTTTCTTGTTCCTTGGCTTGTAGATAGACTCAGTATGGACCTGCAGAGAACAAAATCCGACCTTTCCTCCCTGGCATACCGTATAACAAGACTGATAACTGAACGTAGACTCATCTTGCAACCTGGTCAAGTTCTTTGTTAGGAGTTTTTTAACTTTGTTGCTGGTTATAGAGCCCAAGATTTAGATAGGAGGATGTGGAATAATCTTTCATAAACTTTATGAGAATTAGCGTAAGTGGTATCTTGGAATGGTGGGGGGACAGCAAAAGAAAGACCCTCAGGTAATTTCACACAGTGATACAGTGATGGGCTTGAGTATGTCAGAGACTGTGAGGGTGGCACAGGATAGGACAAAGTTCAACTCTGTGGTTCATAGTGTTGCTATAAATTGTACTGGACTCAATAGCACCTAACAACAGCAACAAGTGTTTATGTAGTCATATATTGAACATTCTGTGGACTGCTAAGAGAACAGACAGATTGGTCCTAGAGTGGGTGAATCCAGACTGCTCCTTGGAGGCAAGGCTTTTGAAGCTCCGTCTCACGTACTTTAGACATGTTACCAGGAGGGACCAGTGCTTGGAGAGGGACTATATTAGCTGACTGTGGACAACCTCCGATCATGTGATTTACAGTCTATGAAACCCAGTGGAAGGTTGATTCTGACTAGACAGCAATGAGTTTGAGTTTTTATATTCTTGACTGTTGCCTTGCTCTTTAGGATAGACTTTTCTATCTGATTCTTAATGAAACTAATTTTTCTTCTTTTAGTTACATTCATATGAACAACTGAGGTTACTGCAAAATAGATACCTATGCCATGTTTTTACATACGGTTGAATTGGAACCAACTTTTAACTGAATCTCCAGCAAGTGTTTAGAAGAAGTAAAAGGCAATGGAGGAGATTGCCAGTCTTTGCCCACAGAGCAGCGAGTGGATTTGAACAGTGTGCCTTTAGGTTGACAGTGCACTTCCTTATCACTAAGCCATCAGACGTATACAATTCATGTAATGTAATTGCAGGAATGGGCTCCAGTGTGTCAGAGATGATGAGAATGGCACAGGACAGGGTTCATATCTATTGTTCATTGGATCACTATGAATTGGGCTTGATTCAAGGGCACCTAACAGCAACAAGCCACCAGAGCTCCGTTAGTCCATTTGTTGTTGTGTATCATTGAGTCAGAGCCTACCCCTAGCTGGCCCTCCAGCAGGTTTTCAGAGACACTAAATTGCACAGGAAGAGATTGCTTCTGTGGAGCAGCTGGTAGATTTGAACCATGTGTCTTTGGGATTGAAGCACAGCTTCTTACCACCAGAGCTCCCTTTCCTTAGGTCATATTGTTGCTGTTGTTGTTTTTGTGTGCTGTCAAGTCATTTGCGACTCATAGCAACCCTATGTACAGTAGCCCTGAAAGCTGCTCTATCCTATGCCAACTTTAATGTCTCTGACACACCTACCCTAATTACCCCAGTCATTGCATCAATCCATCTCATCGATGGTCTTCTCTCTTTCTCTGTCCATCCACCCTTCCAAACATGATTGTCTCTATCTAAAATTTTTCTTCTGTGGTGTTGAAGTAGCTCAGGGGACAGAGCTAACCTGACAGAAGGAGCCCTGCTTTCTTTTCTGGCCTGTGGTATCTTCTAAGGTTTACTGATGTTGTTCTTTGTTAGGATCCTTTCATTATCCTCAGCCTGTTTCCTACTTTCGATTTCTTAGTAACAATGAAAAGAGTGGATTAAATGATTGCTATAGTGCCATCTAGCTGTTTAGGAAAGTCTTAACCTCCTGGGAGCTTTACTCTATTCCATTTCTCCTCTTGAGATGTGTGAGCTTTGGCCTCTAGAGGTGGGAGTTATCTCTGTCTTATGTTTCTGCTTTGCTGGTTCTGTGTTGACTTTAATGAAAACTGTATCAAGATACATATTTTTAACACATTTTTTTAAATTAAACTGCAGTTTTATTGGGGAAAAAAGATAATAGCTTATATGTGTTCCTTGTGAAGTAAACTATCCAAGTCTTACTTGGTGGATAAGCTCTTTGCTTTAATTGTTGTTGTTATGTGCCGTCGAGTCGCTCGCAACTTATAGCAACCCTATGTACAACAGCCCTAAACCCTACTCTATCTCTTGCCAACCTTATTGTCTCTGACACACACTTAACCCCATTACCCCAGTCGATGGAATCAATCCATCTCATAGAGGGTCTTCCTCTCCTGCGCTGTCCCTCCACCCTTCCAAGAATGATGTCCCTCTCCAAGGACTGGTCCCACCTTGCAGCATGTCCAAAGTATGTCAGAAGAAGCATCAGAATCCTTGCCTCCAAAGAGCAGCCTGGCTTCGCCCTCTCCAGGATGAACTTGTTTGTTCTCCTAACAGTCCATGGTGTATTCAATATTCTTCTCCAGCACCAAAGTTCAAAGGCATCAACTCTCCTTCTGTCATCCCTAGTCATTTTCCAGCTCTCTGATGCATAGCAAGTAATTGTAAAGGCCATGGCCTGTATCAGGCGCACCTTAGTCTCCAGACTGACATTGTTGCTCCTCAGGAACTTGGAAAGGTCTCTGACAATAGACTTTCCCAGCGCAATTCATCTTTTAATTTCCTGGCTCCTGGTAGCAAGAGTGTGGATTGTAGAGCAAGGAAACTGAAGCTGTCAACAATCTCAATCTCTTCACCATCTATCATGATGCTGCCAATCGGCCCAGTAGTGAGAATCTTTGTTTTCTTGATATTGAGCTTCAATCCATATTGAAGGCTGCAGTCCTTGGCCTTCTACAACAAGCGCTTCAGGTCCTCCTCAGTTTCAGGAAGCAGGGTTGTGTCATCTGCATAACGCAGATTGTTGATGAGTCTACCTCCAATCCTAATGCCCTTCTCCTCATAGAGCCCGGGCCTCCTGGATAATCTGTTCTGCATATAGATTGAAAAGATATGGAGATAGGGCATATCCTTGATGCACCCCCTTCCCAATTTTGAACCATGCAGTGTTTTCTTGCTCTGTTCTGATGACTGTCTCCTGGTCCAAGTGTAGGTTTCGCATAAGTACAATCAAGTGTTCTGGGATTCCCATTCTTCTCCCAGTCAGCCACAGTTTGATGTGATTCACACAGTCAAATGCCTTTGCATAGTAAATGAAACACAGGTAGACATTCCTCAGGAATTCTCTGCTTTCAGCCAAGATCCATCTGCCATTAGCTATAATATCCCTAGTGCCATGGCCTTTTCAAAATCCAGCCTCGACTTCAGGCAGTTCTCTGTTGATGTGTTGTTCCAGTAGTTTTTGGATGATCTTCAGCAGAATCTTGCTTGCATGTGATAACAAGATATTGTTCCATAATTTTCACATTCTGAAGAGTGCCTGGTAGAATCAAACCATGTAATTTTGCTTTGGCAGTACAGTTCCTTACCACTAAGCCACCAGAGCTCAGCCTTTGCTTTAATTAGCAATTACTAATTTTCTTTTTCCCCAGCACTTTGGTTTCAACTTGTCTTTTTCTTTGGCCTCAGGTCTTGATCGAGGAACTGAATATAATTTCCGAGTGGCTGCGCTTACCATCAATGGTACAGGCCCAGCTACTGACTGGCTGTCCGCTGAAACTTTTGAAAGTGACTTAGACGGTAAGAGCGACAACTTACAAAACTTAATTATTGTGAGTACTGCCTTGAACTAACTAAAGTTTAATCTGAACTTTAGCGTAATATATACTGTGACCTCCTGCACTGGAGCAGGGCTGTTGGGATATATTAGTTTCCAGTTAACTTTTAGAGGATTTTCCCTTTAAACAGATCCAAAACAAATGGTAATTCAAGGGGTACTCTGAGTTTGTTGCTTTTGCTTTGACTTACATAGGTTTTTGTTTTTACCAAGGCCTTCAAGGCTGATTTAATATCAAAAGCCGAGGTGCATGCATCATGTCCTTGATCCAGTTACATTGTCCCTTTTTTTAGTCTTGGGTCCTTGCTCTTTTTTTTGCCCATGTGTTAAAAAGTGGCTCCAGTGGATGTGCATATGTAGCATTTATATGAGTGACAGATTTTGGACCTGGAGACAAAAGACCCAAGTTATATCTTTACATTTCACTTCACTAATTTTTGAACTAAGAAAGTAATTTATGCCTTGAAATAAAGTATGTGAAAGGTACTGTAAATTGTTACCATTTTAGGCCTTTTAGTCTCTCATCTTTTGAATCAGTTTATCCTTCTAAAGTTTCATATTATTTGACTTAACTATATTACTTGTTGTTTTTGTTGTTGTCCTTGTGTACCATAGAGTCAGAACCGACCCATAACTGACTCTCTGGCAGGTTTTCAGAGGCTGCCAGGGCTACAAGTTTATTACTTGGAGGAATAAAAAAAAATTATTTCCATTCCTGTAATGTCATGCTTGTCCACCTGTTGACAACAAGCTTGTGATGATGTGGCATTTATGCCTTTCTCATTGTACCTATGAGGGAGCTTTGGTGGTCCAGTGGTAGGAAGCTGTGCTGTAATCCTCATGGCACATGGTTCAGATCCACCAGCTGCTCCACTTGAGAAGGATGAGCAATCTCCTCTCATGCTGTTAACTACCTCTGAAAACCCGCTGGAGGGTCAGCTGTGGTTTGGTTCCGACTTGATGGTACACAACAGGAACCACATTCTATCTGCTAGAGTTTAGAGTGAGGCTAGGGCAACAAGAGGGAAAGGCAGCTGTTGGAAACAGTTTATTTAGGTGTTTTTCTCCATTGATCTGATGTTCTTGAATGTTTTTGTTCACTTTACAGATTAACACTTTATGAATATAATACAGTGTCTCTTCCATTTTCTTACCATGGTGTCGAGATTCTTGATTTTAATAAGGTTGGTTGGATTGTGTGTGTGTGTGTGTGTGTGTGTGTGTGTGTGTGTCTTATAATATACCAACACTGAGGGGTACATTTCACAGTGCATACAGGCTCTCTTTAAACTCTTAGGTATCACAGGAAAAAACATCACCCCAGAAGAGTGTAATAGAGGATTGAGCCCCATACCCAAGAATGGCAAAATTTTCTTAAAGGAAAGGGAGTCTCATCTTGCTATCTGCTTCTTTTCCCAGAAACTCATGTTCCTGAAGTGCCTAGTTCCCTTCATGTCCGCCCACTTGTCACCAGTATTGTTGTGAGCTGGACTCCTCCAGAGAATCAGAACATTGTGGTCAGAGGTTATGCCATTGGTTATGGCATTGGTAGCCCTCACGCCCAGACCATCAAAGTGGACTATAAACAGCGCTATTACACCATTGAAAATTTGGGTGAGTCTGCTAAATAGAGGAAGTCATGTGTATGTGCTTTTTCTTTTTATTTTGTAATAATTTTATTTTTATAGAAAAGTTGCAAAAATAGTACAAAGAATATTTCACTTATATTCTCAAAAGACTACCATTTTATCACGTCTGTTCTATTTTTCTCTAGCTGCGTATACAGGAGCCGTGGTGGTATAGCATTTGCCTGCTAACCCCCAAAAATGGCAATTTGAACTCACTAGCTGCTCCATGTAGGAAGGATGTGGCAGTTTGCTTTTGTAAAGATTACAGCTTGGAAAGCCTGTGAGGCAGTTCTCCTCTGTGCTTTTGGGCCCTTGTGAGTCAGAATTGACTCAACAGCCACTATCTACGTACACACATGGGGTTTTTTTCTCTGGACAACTTGAGGGGTTCAGACACAGTACCCCTCTACCCATTCTCTAGTGAACACTTTGTAACAATTAAGGCATTTGTAAATGTAATCACAGCACAATTACCAAAATTGGCATGTTAGCATTAACACTATATATTGTTTGACAGCTGTCTCATGAATGCTCTTTATAGCAAAAGAACACTGTTTTCTGATTCAGGTTACCCTACCTCAGTTTTCTTTGATACAGTCCAGTTCCTGTTTCTCCTTGTCTTACATATTTTTGCAGAGTATAGGCCTTTTCTATTTTATGGGCAGTCTCCTCCCTTCTGATTAACTGCCTCTGAAAATCTGCTGGAGGGTCAGCTTTGGGTCAGTTCCACCTCGACAGTACACGTCAATAGACTGTCTCTTCATTTAGGAACCCTGGAAGTATAGTAGGCAGCATGTCCAGCTGGGAACCAAAAAGGCTTGGTGGTGCATATCCCCAGCCGTTCCACTGGTTAAGGATGCACAGTCCCAGACCTCCTGTAAAGAGTTACAGCCTCAGAACCCCAGTGGTGGATCATTGTGAGTTGGAAACAACTTAGTGGCAATGATTTGGGGGGGTTTGGGTCACTAACTTTAGATCAGCAAGCTCTGGTGGCACCGTCCCTTGGAGCTAGGCTGCTCACCGAAATGTGGCACCTTTCTGGCGGTTTAGATCCACCGGATGGTTCCGCAGGAGAAAGTGAGACAATCTGCTCCCTTGTGATTTACAGCTTTCCGAATATCTGCTGGAGGGGCAGCTTCCATTCAGTCCTGACTTGACAGCAGTGAGTCTATAATTTAGATTTGTCTAATATTTCTTTATTATTGCATTCAAGTTTTGAATATTTGGAAGGAATAGTGCAGAAGTGTCTGATTGTGATAGTACCTTAATCCAGAGGAAAGTGATTTCTAGTTACATTCATGCTAGTAATGCTCAAGTTGATTGCTTAGTTGGAATGGTTGCTTCCAAGTTTCCCCACTCTGGTTACTATTTTCTTCTATATCGTTTATTAAGTGCCTTGTGGAGAGACACCAGAGTCTTTGCATTTCATCAAACTTTGATTTGCTAGTTTTAGCCTCTGTGTTGGTGTTGTTGAGTGTCATTTACTTGATTCTGACTCAGGGACCTGATAGTAGTTATTACTATAAACGGTCACTGCTTGAGTCTATTCTGACTCACAGCACCTCTGAGTGCTGAGACAGTGTAGAACTGCCCCATCAGGTGTCTAAGACTGGGAGTTGTTAAGGAAGCAGGCTGCTGCCTCTTTTCTTGCAGAGAAGCTAAGTTCGAACTGCCAACTTTTGATTAGTAGCTCATTGCTAATCAAAATAATGCTTTTCCTTTTCCAGTTATTTTTATTACAGTGCCCCTTGAAATGGCACTGGCATCTTTATTCAATTGCTTAGTGTTAAAAAGTTGGATTGTCAATCCAAAGGCAGGTTGTTCATATCCACTAGATGCCCCACAGCAGAAAGATGAGAAGTCTCCTCCCATACAACTTACTGCCTCTGAAAACTCGTTGGAGGCTCAGCTATGAGTTGGTTCTAACTCAACAGTGTATATAATCTTTCTTTGAATACATATTTCCTTTTTTACAAAGTTGTATATTCCATAATAATCTGGTATTTTTCTAGCCTCACTGTTGTAATAAGCTATTTCTCCAAGGAACTCAGATTTCTTTTATGAGAAGTTATAGCAACAAAAATATAAACATTATACATGTTCTTTTGTAATGTTGTAAAAAATCTCACAGAACCTATTTTTTCAAAAGCTACTCATTCTATATATAAGCTTAGCAAGGTTGTAAGATGATGTTGTTTTCATCAGGTGCCCTAAACTCAATTCCAGTTCATGTGAAATAGCTTGTGAACTAGTAGAACTGCTCTGTAAGATTTTCTTGGCTGTAATCATCACCAAAGCAAATTGTCAGTGTCTCTCTCCTGCAGAGCATCTGGGTGGTTCCAACCACCAGTCTTTCAGATAGCAACCAAGTACTTAACCATTAGCATATCAGAAAGCCTAGCAAGGTTGTAGGATATAGATTCAATACATAGAATCCTGTGCAGTTAACTGCCTCTGAAAACCCAGTGGAGGGTCAGCTTTGGGTTGGTTCTGACTCAACAGCACACAACAACAACAACATCTTAATAGTAGCACCTCTTCTTACCACCAGGCCACCAGAGCTCCCAAGCTGTTAATTAGTAAGAAGTATTTTAGAAAGAGATGTTTAACTAGTCTGTTTCATGTTAAACTTTTCCATACCTCTTTTAGCATCTATTGATTAAGTCTCAACTCATCTACTCTGTTGATATTAGGGAGCTCTGGTGGCCTAGTGGTAAGAAGTTGCCAGAGGCACATGGCGCAAATCCACCAGATGCTCCGCAGGAGAAGGATGAGGAGTCTCTTCCTCTGAAATCTGCCTCTGGAAACCCACTGTAGGATCCGCTGTGGGTCAGTACTGACTTGACAGCAAACAACAACAACAGTCCTATTAATAGGGAGTTATGGTGGCCTAGTAGTAGAAAACTATGCTGCAATGTCAAAGGCACACAGTTCAAATCCACCAGCTGCTCCACATATGAAGCCTGGACATTCTTCTCTCATGTGATTTACTGCCTCTGAAAACTGGAGGGTCTGTTGTGGGTTGGTGCAGACTCTACAGCACACAACAACAACATCCTAATAATAAACCTAAAACAGACTACTAACAATAAATAAATCTGTCATGGAAGTAATGATGCCAGAGTTCTCTTTAGAAGACAAAGACCTCACATGTTGTGGGCATGTTATCAAGAAGAGCTAGTCTCTGGAAAAGTACAGTATGCTTGGAAAGGTAGAAAACAAAAGAGAAGAAGACCTGCAGGGAGGTACAGTGACGCAGTGACTGGAGCATTGGGCACAGCAGAGATTATGGGGATGGTGCTGAATCGGTCATTTCCTACCTGTTGTACAAAGGGCTTCATGGCTTCTATGAGTCAGAGCTGATTTGATAGCACTTTACAAGAACAATATAAGAATTCATTAGAAGTTGGAATTGAAAGATGTATCTTTGGATTCATAATTTGTCCTGAACAAATATTTTTACTCCTGCATTTGTAAACATCATTCCCTCAGAGCAACTTTACATAAACTATCTAAAGATAAATTATCTAAAGATAGAATATAGTCAGCAATTTATGTTTTGTTTAAAAAGCACAAGTAGCCATTCTCTTTTCAAGAAGAAACAGCACTGCTAACCTAGCAAGTGATTCTCCTACTTGAACAGTCTAATAAGGTTATTGTGAGAGAGCAAAAGAAAAGCTTTGCTGGTACAATAAAATTGTCTCTGTGGTGACCAGCCTCCTGCTGTTTTCCTTTATGCAGCTGCTGAAGTGAAATCCTCTGCAGTATAGGCAGGATATGTTCCTTGACCCTCAGGTGTGCTCAGTCTAATAGGGAAACAAAAGTAAAAGATAAGAAACAACGGAGTGAGTTGAAGTGAAGTATGCTCTGATCAGGGAGAGCCTGCAGGTCAATGTAGAGCACCCAGGGAAGAGAGAAACCTGTGCTTGACAGGCTTAGTGAGAAGAGTGTTTAGAAACAGATGGGAAGGAGCACCCCAGGTTCTGAACGGAGTAATCAGGTAGAGATTACATGGAAGAATGGATTGGACAATGCATTGACACACAATAAGCTAAATCTAGCTTAACATCAATGTCTCAAATGCATTCAGTGCTGAACAGAAGAAACAATTGTCAATGGTAAAGAAGTACATTTAGGAATTCATTTATTCATTAAACTAAACCTAACTCCTCAACTTTAGACCTATTTATAGTATACACCTGCCTAGATATCTGCACCTGGATATAACCTGTATTCAGCTGGACAGCTGTTTAAGCTCATTTATCTTCTGCCCCAAACCAGTCAATCGTTGGACAGATATTTAGTGAAAATGGAAGGCCCTAGACACTATACTAGAGAGAGAGGAGAGTACCAAGCAGATGTGATTCCAGCTATAAGAAAGAGTACTGCTACAAAATAATTGAAAATATGCAGAGTACTGAGAAATAAGAAGGAATATTTACGTAGAGAATTGAAACTGTTAAGCAGGATGTAATCCTGTTCACTGTGTCCTGTAAGATGCAGAGAAGTTATCTAGCAGGGAGCTCAGGTAGTGCAGTCTGTAAGGAGTTGCACTGCCAACCCCAAAGTCATCACCTCTCAGATGGTCTAAAGCTATGAACAGTTGGAGAAAAATGGATAATCTCCTCCCATGCAGTTTACTGAAAACCCACTGTAGGGTCAGCTACAAGTGGGTTCAGACTCAGTGGCCATGAGTGAGATGAGGAGAGAGGAGGGCAGGATGGGGAACAGATACACAGACCCAGGAGAATAGGGCATGGTATGTAGTGAACTGACAAAGAGTCTGTGGGGATGATGCACAGACAGCATGACACAGCATGACAGGAGACTGAGGAGATAGAGAGGAACCAGGCCCTGTAGTGCCCAGTGGACCATGATAAGAATTTAAAATTTTGTTAAAAGGCTTGAGGATCTTTAAGCAGGATGACAAACACATTCAAATCTATCTGTTTAAAAATCACTTTTGAAAAGGGCTGTGTGGGGACAATTAATTTTAAGGTAGCAGAAGTAGAAATGTAGAGGCAGACTATTAGAATGGCATAGGCAGAAATGATATTGACTTAAAGCCGTTGATCTGGGATAAAAAAAGCAAAGGATTAAAAGTAAGATGCATTTTAATATTTAGTGTCAACAAGGCATGACTATTGCTGTTAATTCTTGACAGAGAAGAAGAGAAAGGTTTGAGACATCCCAGTACAGATGCCAAGCAGGCAGTTGAACATACAAGAGTGGGCCTTAAAAGTGATGTGTATTTGCAGTTAGTGGAATGTAAGTGCTAATGAAAGCAAAGGAAACTAATATAAGCCCAGAGAAAAAGAAGAATGAGAAAAGGAGAGGGCCCAAAATGAAGCTTTGAAATGGCACATCATGGCTGCTCTGCCTTTGTCCTCAGACTTAAATTACATTGCCATCTACTGTGTTAAACACATCAATTCTTTTTCCTCACAAGACACGTGTTGTTGTTAAGTGCCATCAAGTCATAGACAACTCATAGCGACCCTATGAAAGAAAGACCTGAACACTTGTATAACTTTCATCATTTCTCCAAATTAATAGGGTTTCTGGAGGCAAGCTATTTAGGAAGTGGATGCCACTCTTGCTTCCAAGCTTGTTTTAATCGGGGAACTTCACCAAACAGTGTCCACCAATGGGTAACCCTTAATGCATTTGACACATCAGTGTCACGGTGTTTAGCACCATAGTAACCATGAGGTACCTCTTATGGCAGGTGGACAGACCAGTACTATCGCTTAGACAAGTACTAAGTCTTAATTGATCCTCTTTGATGTCGCTTCTCTTCAGTGTGGGAAGACCAGATGCCGCTCTGTTGCACACTGATATCTAGAGAGTGAATGGACCACCAGGCAGAGAAACTATTTAAAACTATTAAAGTAAGGCAAGCGACTTGAGGTATGGCTGCTTTGGAAAACTGGCCAACTTTGCCATAAAGCAGGTGTAGTGGCTCAGCTCCTAACCCTGGAACACATCTGTCAAGCCCAAGTCTTTGTGAAATTGGGCCTTACTTGGATCAAAAATGTGATCAGTTTTAGTCCTCCTAATTTATGTCATTTAGTTGGAAAATTAATTCCTTTCAGCCTATTCAGTATCCCCTCTTTTCTCTGAGTCTTAATGGTATCATTTTGTATGAACCCCCAGAGAGCCTCTTTCTCCGTCTGAGCAGCGTTCTGACCAGTCTTAACATTACTTCCTACATCATTTCCAAGTCATTCCAGAGCTGTACAATTTAAATCCATATCATATTCAACCAATAAGTATTCACAATAGCTGGATTGGGTTTTAGGATTCCTATATTTGTAGGCCCCTAGAGGTTTCAGGACATTCATAGTTATTGGGTTAATAGTTCATCTCCTATTTCTCTACTTATATTGTTCCAATCCTTGTCCTTTTTTAGGATTAAAAGTAGTTTGTTTAGTTCCAGGCTATCAGCACATAAAAAAAATCTATTTACTCATTCTCATCCAAGCCATGTTATTGTTACTATGTACCATCAAGTCAGAATTGACCCATAGCTGACCAGTGGGCATAAATCACATAAGAGGAGATTGCTCATCTATGTAGCAGCTAGTAGATTCTAACCACATGCCTTTGGGTTGGCAGTGCAGCTCTTTACCACTAAGCCACAAGGTCATTTATACAAACAAAAGCAAATGAAAACAAAAAGCAAACAATCTATTGTTGTCAAGTTTGTCTGGTGACCCTCCATTGGGTTCCCAAGGCTGTAAATCTTTGCAGGAAGTGTCTGCCCATCTTTCTCACTCAGAGCAGCTGGTGGTTTTAAGCTGTCGATACATCATGCACTGTGAAACCCGGGGCTCCTTCGTTAACCCTTAGTGGGGACTACATGAGGCAGGCCGCCTCTGCTCCTGGCACTTACTCTTGGAAGTTTGTGTCAGTATTTCCTTGTTGCATGTACTTTATCTCCACATCTTGGCCCACCCCAAAATAATCTCACATTAAAAGTTGGGGGGGTGGGGGCGGAATCTCTCTTTCTGACTTCTCTTGCAGTGAGGACATGCACAAATTAGGCAAGAATTTTTTTATTTTTTTTTAATTCTGTAGTGGGAAAATTTTTACATGTATCAACTTGTTTCTCTTCTTCAGATCCCAGCTCTCACTATGTGATTACCCTAAAAGCATTCAACAATGTGGGGGAAGGCATCCCTCTGTATGAGAGTGCTGTCACCAGGCCACACACAGGTAAGGGACCCTGGTTGTCTGGTTTTTCAGCTGTTTTCTGGAAGCTTAATTACAGGCAGTCCTTAGGTTAAAAACAAGATGATTTCAGTTGAATCTGTAGATTAAGTCATAAGAACATATGGTTCTTACCTAACCTAACTTGAGTGCAAAGAAAAACAACCCTTTGAAGATTTGAAGACTGCACATGCAGCAAATGAAAGTGACTATAAGGAATTTGTTGTCAGTAGGGATTGGTATGCTGAGAATGGAAAACGGAAAGAATGGTGTTGCATTCATAGACAGTTTCCATTTCTATCCTGAAGCAAAATGTTGTAATAGCGTATTACCCATACACATATAGGAAGACCTGTTCATATAGCTATACCAACAGCTAAAGCCAAAAAGGAAGAAACAAGATTTTTATCAGATTTTACAGTCTGAAATTGACCAACTATGCAATCAAGATGCATTAATGATAATTAGTTACTGGAATGCAAAAGCTAGAAAAAATGAAAAAGAAAATGGGAAGAAGCTGTGCTGCAATCCCGAAGACACGCGGTTCAAATCCACCAGCTGCTCCATAGGAGAAGGATGGGCATTCTTTTCCCATCCAATTAACTGCCTCTGAAAACCCACTGAAGGGTCAGCTGTGGGTTGGTTCCTACTCCATGGTACACAACAGCAAGTCAGCAAGTACAAATTTGGTGACAGAAATGAGGCTGAAAAGAAAATGATAGAATTTTGTACATTCAGTGATTTAGTCATCACAAATACCTTTTCTAAGAAACACAAACTGACTTTGCATGTGGATCTCACCAGATGGATGGCCTAGGAATCAGATTGACTACATCTTTGGGAGGAGTCGTTGGAGAAACTCATTATCAGCAGTCAAACGCAGGCCAGGTGCTGAAAGTGAATTTGATAATCACTTACTCATGTGCAAGTTACAATTGAGTCTGAAGAAAATGAAAACAAGTCCACAAGACCCAAAATACAGTCTTGAGGCGATCCCACCTGAATTTATAAATCATTGTAAGAATGGGTTTGAAACATTGAACACCAGTGATTTAAGACCAGATGAGTTGTGAGATGACATCAAGAGTATCATTCCTGAAGAGAGCAAAAGGTCACTACAAAGAGAGGAGACAGAAAAACCCAAAATGCATGTCAAAAGAATCCCTGAAAATTGCACTAAATATGTAACAACACATGTTTTTAATATGATGGAATTCAGAAAGCTTTTTTTTTGAGATAGTATAGTAGTTTTCCATCTATTTGAGCATGTAAATTATAATGAAAATGAATCAATAAAAGGATAGCCTTATTTCTGGAAGAATTAGCTAAATTATAGAAGGTAGCAATAAATGTATATGATTGATAAATTAACTTTTGTTTCATTAGTCTTCTGGTTTGGAAAAGAATTTTTCTTTCCATAAGTCTTACATATATATTGAGAACCAAATCAGAAGTACAGTACATTTATTATAGAGAAAAATAGATTATTTTTTAAGATATCTTTTAAAATAAAAGAATATACATATCAATGTACAATTTCTACAGATATACATCTAATATCTATCTGAATGAGAAAGTTTAGTGAAATAAATCTATTAAAATTACAAAATTTAAAAGCATTTTGAAAACCAGAGACTTTATCATTTTCATAAACATTCCTTAAAGTGTTTCCCAGAATTTTCAATTTGCATTCTCTTACCTTTCCTAAATATTTTGCATAATAGCACTAATTTGAAAATATTCTTTTTAAGAATAAAAATATTATAATCTCTGTGCTTTTTTAAAAAAGCATTTGCTTTTTTGGTAAATGATATATTATTTTGAGCAAATCTGCTGTTAAATATCTTTATAGCACTAAAGAGCTATGATATCAAAGACCTGGAAAAAAATGAATGAAAGTGTTCACTTAACACATAAAGCCAACACCATTATTATAGGCTGGGTGGTTCTGTCCTGGCTTCTACTTCTTTGTGCTTACAATTTATATGTCCCTTAATTTTTTTTTCTTAAATAATCCTAGAAAGGGAAAAATACCAGTCAAAAAGAAAATATTTAAGTAAGGGACTTGCTGCTTTCTTGTATAAACCTATAATAGAAAAAACAAATTTGAAATTATTTTCTTTTATTGTAGCTTTAAAAAATCACCTGCTGACTAGAAATAAATAAGACATTCTCAAGTAAGTTAGTTAGCTTTTCTAAGAGTTGGTACCAAACAAATTCCCAAAGAATTCTAGTGATTTTTGCACCTGAAGGTGCATTTTCTGTAACTAATTGGTATATGCCCTGACAATCTTTGAACAAAGCCCGTGATTATAATGTTTTGCTGTTCCTCAGTTATTTTTAGTCCTTATTGTTAGGATCTGCACAAATGAAGACTATTACTTTAGCTTGGCAATAAATCACAAACAAGGCCTGTGCCATTTCAGATTTGAGTTTTTAAAAGGGCTAGTCACCATAGACACATGGAAAACTTTGTTTGAAACTTTAATTTAAAATAAATCAGTGCATGTATGCTTGAAAACCTGACCATGTTTTTAAAATCCAGATCGTTCCTGCTGGGTTTCCCTATGTCTGTAGTCCTTACTGTCTTTGACTCCTTGTGGCATCTGTTTAATTTATAGTGTTTAGAGATGTGTCTGTTATATATAGCACAGACTACCACATAGATAAAACTTCCTTAACCTTTTTCTCAATTAAGTATTCTGATTCCTAAAGTTTTTAGAGGCTGTGATGCTTGGGTTTATGGTAACAGTGGCATTTCTCATAACTGATGGCATTCATCAGAGGATGGTTTTCTGACTTACCTGGAGAAAGTCCAGCTGCCTCTCTAACAGATGGTGTCAACTTAAAGAAGAGCAATGCCCTTGAGTTCCTACTTAGTTCGAATGATCCTTTTGCCTTATTTGAATGTAAGCCATGTCTGTAAACAGGTTTCCCCTACTATCTGAAAACAATGTTCCTAGAAAACCTTTTGTAAGCCAAATGGTATAAAGAAGCTGTTAACTGTTAATAAACATAGGGGGGAAAATTGAGTACTCTCAGACCCAACCAAAAACAACCCGCCAAATAATACATAAAACCTAACACAATTTTAATGTGAAGTGTTCACAAATAATTCAAAGCTATGGCAACTCGATGCTGAGATGCTGTGTATACTTAGTTCTTGAGGCAGGAGCTTGGCAGCACATCTCCTGCTGTTCAGGATTTACAGTAGCTCCCTACAGAACAAATTCTGGGTGCTTTTGGAATTTTTTGTATAAAGAAACTGGCATAAGGCAGACTTTCAAAAAGCAGGGAATGCTTGTATTGCCTTTAGACACAGGACATCAGATCTGTATGGGTATCGGAAGCCCACTACATACAGGCTATGCTATGTTGCCAAGCACTGACATTCAGGTCTGAGGCTTGGAATTACGACAATATGAACAGTGATAGCCCATGTCCTGAAAATCCACCTGTATTCCCTGAAATAACAGAAGGGACCATAAACTTTGTATTGCGTGTTCAAAAATTATGCCCTTGATTTTAAAAGCGAGTCTTATCTTTTCATGAACTATAATTTGCAAATAGTGTTAAGAAAATTCAAGCATTAATAAGTCACTGGAATGTCAAATTTCAATATGCCTATAAAAGTATTGAACATACCATGGACCACCAAGAGAACAAACAAGTCTGTCCTGAAAAAGATGAAACCAAGTTTCTCCTTGGAGGCAAGGATTTTGAGACTCTGTCTCACATACGTTGGGCACGTGGCCAGGAAGGACCAGTCCTTAGAGAAGGACATTATGCTTGGTGGAGAGGCAGCACAGGAGAAGAAGACCCTGGATAAGATGGATTGACACAGTAACTGGGGTAAAAGGGATCAGTGTGTCAGAGTCAGTGAGACTGGCTCAGGGCAGCGCAGGCTTCTGAGCTGTTGTACATGGGTCACTATGAGTTGAAGGCAACTTGATGGCACATGACAATAACAACATAGTATGCAGTAGAGAATCCAGTTAGATTCTGCTTCTCTAGACATTCTCCTGCAGATTTCTCCTGAAAGAACACAAGTGGATGTATTCTTTTAAATGAGTGATGGCTTTCTAGTAACTCCAGATTCTCTTTCTTTTTCTCCATTTCTCACCTTTCATTCCATTGCATTACCCTGCATTTCGCTTTTCTTTCATTTTTGTTTATGTTAAAATGCCACTTCCCTTTTTAATTACTTTCTGCCCAGACACTTCTGAAGTTGATTTATTTGTTATTAATGCTCCATACACTCCAGTGCCAGATCCCACTCCCATGATGCCACCAGTGGGAGTTCAGGCTTCCATTCTGAGTCATGACACCATAAGGATTACATGGGCGGACAACTCCCTGCCCAAACACCAGAAGATTACAGACTCCCGGTACTACACTGTGCGATGGAAAACCAACATCCCAGCAAACACCAAGTACAAGGTATGACACATTTGCTCTCTGGTTGAGAATAGCAAATTATTGATACTTTCTCATTCTAAAGTTCTTGATTCATATCTTTCTAGACTGCAAATGCGACAACTTTGAACTATTTGGTAACTGGTTTGAAGCCAAATACACTTTATGAATTCTCTGTGATGGTGACCAAAGGTCGGAGAGCAAGCACCTGGAGTATGACAGCCCATGGAACCACCTTTGAATTAGGTATGTGCCATTGGTGTTTTTTCTTTGTAAAATGTGGCAAGTCAGTGAAGTTCATGCTAAGGTTGTGCCACCTTTAAGATCATGAGACTTCTTACCGCTTACTTTTCCTACTCAAGCGAAGAGGTGAGGGCATGAATTGGCATTCCTACAGAGCACAGGGTACACCTACAAGTGGAGTGCAGCATTTGCTGTTTCAGCTCATGAATTATAGGGTCTTTTTACTTAATATTTAAAAACACTAACAGATAATGGGTTAATATAATCTAATGCATACTAGATTTTAAGGATCAAGATATTTACATTCCATCTCAACTCTGATATTTATTGGTTATATGGTCTGGTTGCAAGTCATCTAATCTCCCTGAAGTTTCTTTCATCCATAAAGAGTAGGGCCAGAGGGTCAGCTAAGATAGTAAGCCTTGCCTTTCAATCTCTAGAGTGTTATTTTAAGGGTAAAATGAGGAACAGATAGGAAAGCACATGGTACGTTATAAAGCACCATGTAAATGTGAGAGATTATTGTCATTAATCCTGCTTCAGTGGTAAACTATGATAGAAAAGACAAAAGTGACCCACTTTCACCAAAAAACTGCCATACTTCTAGAACCTGAGCATTTTATAAGATACCACGAAGCTGCTTTAGCAGTGGTCTTGCAAACCAGATAGTGTCTCCTGAAATACCTGAAGGATATTGCCTTCTCTTTACAAAATGTGGAAAGTTTTTTTATTCTAATTTTAAGCTACTTTTCAAGTCATGAGCCTGCTTGCCCCATGTTTTACTACCCAAGGGAACAATTTAATGCATTAATTGACATACTTGCAGAACATAGGGAACACTTCCAAAATATCCAAAATTTCTGTGGCCATTGTGTTTGCAAGTGGACATGAGCAACCAAGAAAAGTTAAGGAACAAGTAGGCCATCTGAATGTGAGATTCGAGTCTTAGTCACTCAGCCTACCCCTCTCTGCCCTTTGGACTTTGCTAATATGGGAATATGTGTAACCACTGGGAGTTTCTATTTTGGCCTCATTTTTTCTGCCCTGTATATGAATGAAAGGGGAAAAAAATTATTTATCCCCAAACTAGATTTGGCCCTAATATGTTTTTACTTCTGTAGAGTTATGTGGACTTCCTATAGAGTAAAGGGGTATATTGGGAAAGCTAGAAACATAATGGCAAAAGCGTTAAGTAGACTTTGACTTGGCTTCCTCTGCCAAAATTTTAAGAACATGTTTTGGCTTTAATTCTAACCCATTAGCTAAATGAGATAGCATTTTCCCTTAGGGTGTGTGTATTTCCATTCCAAGAGAATGCCTGTATTTTAGGAAGAGAAGAGTACATTTAAGCATCTATTTAATTTGCTCTTTTCTTTACTGGTTCTTTAAAAAAAATTTGCCATGACATGGAAACACAAGAAATATACTGTCATGTTTCATTTATTGGGTTTTCTGTTTCATAAATAACTCAATTTCAGAACAGCAACATCAGTAGTTGACAATCCAATTGCCACATTAACTTACAATGAAAAATATGACTTTGTAACTCATTTGTTCTTTGAGGTCATTGGAGCTCTTAAAAGTCACATTTATTTCCCAAAGTCAAATACAAATGAGAGAGAAAGTTATTTTATACTTTAAAATATGCTAACAAAATAGTCCACACCAGGGCAGGGGAGTGGGAGCAGTGATGTTACTTGAGTGAGGCAAATTACATAACTTCTCTGGAGATAAATATTGCCATAGGTGGTAAATGAAATTTTATTTGTGAAATGCCAGACATATAGTAAGTACTTGGTAAATGCAAAGATCACACTGTTTTCTAACCTAACTACGTCATACATGGTTGACCTTCCCCCAGTTGAAATGCAAATTCCAGATCCTCATAGTATGACATGTTCTCCTTCATACTGGACACATTTTTTTAAGCTTTCTGTACACACATTGGGAGCTCTGTGAAGCTGGGAGGGGTTTTTGTCTTATACCCTTTACAGTGTCTTTTAAATAGAAAGAATTGAAAAAGTAAGACGGTAAATTAAAATGGACATCGCTTATTAACATCATCATTATATTATTATTATTATTATTTTTATTTTTATTGTTATTTATTTTATAGTTCCCACTTCTCCACCCAAGGATGTCACCGTTGTGAGTAAAGAGGGGAAACCTAGAACCATAATTGTGAACTGGCAGCCTCCCTCTGAAGCCAATGGTAAAATTACAGGTAGGGCGCCTTTGAGTATGTATATGTGCCCTGTTCCTGCTTGACAGAAGCATTCTAGGAAAGTAACGTTGTAAGGAATCTAGGGTAACCTGGTTATCATGATTGTAGCAGGGAATACTGTTTGCCCTTCATGGCACAAAAAGGAGTTGCCAGTGGCTATTCTGACTTACTGCATGAATGTGTAAAGGGGATAGGATGCACAACTTTTGAGAGTGGTAAGATTTTACAGACATGAGTCTTTACCCCAGGGAAGCTGGTTGTCTAAGCCTTTGGATGACCAGCTTTGAAGTCATGGATCCCCTGTTATTCTAGATCATGCCCAATAAAATAGATTGTACCTGGTTTTTAAACCTTTAAACCCAGAAAAACCCTTCAGACTTCCATCTTCTTTTTCTCTCCCAGGGCTACACATCCATTTCTATGTCTATGCCCTTATGATTAGTACCAAAAATTTTAATTGGCTTAAGCCCCACAGAAGGAATCCTAGTGGCATACATAGCATGTTGCATATTGTCCTGCTAACCAGAAGGTTGGCAATTTGAATCCCACAGGCACTTCACAGGAGAATAATGAGCAGTCTCCTATCAACATTGACAGCCTTTAGGAGGCCACTGTAAGTCAGCATCTCCTCAACAGCAGTGCATCTAGGTTTTTGGTGTTTCAATGGACCTGGAATTTCCCCATGGTCATGGACAAAAGAACCTCCCAAGTAGAAAGAACACTAGGCCTTTGTCATCCTTGTCAGTAAGGAATGTATGATCTGAGATTTAGCTGTTAGTTCCTCTCTCTGGAGTCTCTGCTCCATAGTGTATACTCAGCAACTTTCAGTTTGCCCTCTTAAGTTCCTTTGTATGAATAAAGGGCTTGAAGACTTGAAAGCATTTCTTACCACTGTGCTAAAAAAGGATTCTTTTAAAAAAGTTTGAGTCCACCAACCATTCTTTGGGAGAGAGATGGACAGCCTCCTCGCTTAAAGATTTACAGCCTCAGAAACCCCTGTGAGTCACAATTAACTCCCTGGGAACAAAGTAATCCCACTTCTGACTTTCCAGAAAGTCTTGTTTTGTATGTGATTTTTCAAGCTGTGAGTTTACCTCTTCTGTTTGTTAAAAAAAAGGGACAAGGATGACTTGACTTGGATTACATTACTTTGTCTTTTAAAATCAATATAATGCAGACTACTCTTCTGGTCAGGTCAGCTTGCCAGCTGTCACCCGTCCCTCTGCATGGCGAGGATTGACTGCCCTCTTGTGGAAGTATCGGGGGACATTTCCCTGTGGCTCTACACACCCCAAACCTGGAAGAACTTTTCTCCTGGCAGTCTCAATGGCAAGGGCTTAAGGCACTATCAGTTTTGAAAACTGCATTATTTCAATTGTAGAACCTTTAGGGTATAGTACTCAAATAGCCCTGTATAGACTATTTTCCTTGGATGAGCATTTTTTAGAATTTTTATGAACTCTTAGCCCCTGAGGATACTTTAACTTCTATTTTCATGTAAGATACCTTTATTTCTTCAGCTCCTGAGATGTTGTTGTTGTTGTTGTTGTTATGTGCCGTCGAGTCGCTTGTAACTCATAGCAACCCTATGTACAACAACTACAAACCCTGCTCTATCCTGTGCCAATCTCACTGCCTCTGACACACCCATCCCGATTACCCCAGTCACTGAATCAATCACCTCATAGAGGGTCTTCCCCTCCTGTGATGTCCTTCCACCCTACCAAGCATAATGTCCCTCTCCAAGGACCTCTCCCTCCTTACAACACGTCCAAAGTATGTCAGACGAAGCCCTAGAATCCTTGCATCCAAGGAGTAGCCCAGTTTAACCCTCTCTAGGATGAATCTGTTTGTTTTCTTGGCAGTCCATGGTACAGTCAATACTCTTCTCCAGCACCACAGCTCAAAGGCATCAATTCTCCTTCTATTCTCCCTAGTCATTGTCCAACTCTCTGATGCATAACAAGTAATTGCAAAGACCATGACCTGTATCAGATGCACCTTCGTCTCCAGAGAGACACTGTTGCTCTTGAGTACTTTAGAGAGGTCCCTAACAGCAGACTTTCCCATCGCAATACGTTTTTTGATTTCCTGGCTGCTGGTGCCAAGAGAGATAGATGTTGATAAATTGTGGCTTGGCACTGTAAAAATTATCATGTTCTCTATATTACATTTAATACAGTATTTTGAGTGGGTTTGTCATTGTCTTTAATAAATAACTGGTGTTATGAGGAGGCAAGTGAAGCTAAACACAGAAGAAAAATATTCTAACCAATAAAACATTAAAAAAATAAAAAATAACTGGTTCTTTGCTTACATATTCTGTAAAATGTACATTTATTGACATAACCGATTAGAAGAGACAAAACAAGAATAAAGAGTCTTTTCCCTTTTATTCCTTTGGGCAGGTTACATCATATATTACAGCACAGATGTGAATGCAGAGATACATGACTGGGTTATTGAGCCTGTTGTGGGAAACAGACTAACTCATCAGATACAAGAGTTAACGCTTGACACGCCATACTACTTCAAAATCCAAGCTCGGAACTCAAAGGGCATGGGGCCCATGTCTGAAGCGGTCCAATTCAGGACACCTAAAGGTAAAGCTTCCCAAATAGAAGGTTGTATCATGTCTCGTTAGTAAGGCCTTGCTTCCACTTAACCCTCAAGCAGGAAGAGACTGTAGGGCTGTGGGTAATATAGGAGGTCCTGAGGACCAACTTGTGAGTCACAGTGTCAAGATTCATCTCAATATGATCCCTCACCCACTGGCCACCAAATCAGGGCTCCATAGGTTAGTGGCCTATCCCTTTCAAATATGATGGGACTTTTACTCCTGCATCTTCAGATCAGGCATATTTTCAGTAATAGAAAAGCTTTACCAATCCGATTAGATAAAACTCTTGACCATACATAGTAATGTTACTGTGATGGGTAATTGTTTCCACACAAATAAGGTTTTTTTATGGGCCTTTGTAAAGGGAAAGAGAATAAATGGAACACTTTAAGGAGAGCCCTCTGTAAGAAAATAATGTAAACTATTGAACCATTTGAGCTTAGGTAAATAAAGCTTAATTGGGGAATGAGTCTGGAAATGGCACCCTATGTACATTTCTTTCCTGTTAGTACTGAAAACGCACTTTATTGGAAGCTCGTGGGAGGGGTTATCTTTTCCTTTTTAGAATTCTACCTGTCCCATCTTCAAAGCTTGTGATCCTTGCTCTTGTTTTGTTTTTTCCCCCCTTCCCCTGTGCTTGACCTGTTAGCGGACTCCTCTGATAAAATGCCTAATGATCAAGGTAAATGAGTAGTTGGCCTCTCTTTCCTATCTTTTGTGACCTTTTATTAGCTTTCTGTTTTTCTTTCTTTTTAGAAAACTAATGATTTTGACAGTCCTGTATGTCAAAAGACCACATACTTATTGGCCAAAGTACAGTTGAGTCCATATTTGTGACAGTTGGAGTATCTTAAAAAGCTGGGAATCTATGCAGGTGCTAAACAAACTGAAGGGAAAACCTGAGTCCTGTAAGAGTCCTGTGGTTGTAGGTGTTTGCTTTTAAATGTGTATTAAGATGTTCAAGTTCTTTAGCAGTGATAGGCAGTTGGGCAATGATGAGAACTTTAAACTCCCTGCCCTCAGAGGACCAGGTTTCTGTATTGATAACATCTGATTTCGTTAGCAACTCCAATTGAAAAAAATCAGTGAATATTCTGTTTTCCTTCCCTCACAAACAATCTACAGATTTACCCCATTAAGTGTTGTAGGGCGCTCTGGTGGTGTAGTTGTATGGTTATCTGTGTCAAAAATACTGTTCTGTTTGTTCTGTTATCACTTAATTCAGAGCCTTCCCTCCCGTTTCTTCCCATAAATATTTTTGATAACTTGAAAAGAGAATACAGACTGTTGGAAGTGGAAACATAGGAGTCATGAACCTCAATACGATCGCTCCTGAAATCAGCATCTTTTTACCATAAATCCTTCAGGATGTAGAAATAGCTGCATTTTGTGATTTTCATCTCTGAGAAGTTAGCTAAAGCTGATGTCTGTTTACCATACTGAAGAAGTACAATAAAAATAAAAATTTGATGGTTAAGCAGATAATAAAAAATCAAAGGCCTTTGAGTCTTGGTTAATGTCAAGGAAGATTCAGGATTGAGGCTTAATGCTTTGCTTTACAATTTTTTTAAGATAAAGCTTTACTTTTTTACCATTTTTGAAGATTCAGTGAGTCTTAGATGATACATTGGAGAATGTGTCAGCATACTTCCTTTCTTTTTTTTGTGACAGGTGTTCTAATCAAGGTAGAAGCTCTGACTTAAGGATCTCACCAACTTAAAGATGAGAATAAGAAAAACAATCAAAAGCTGTATGCAGCATAGAATATAAATGTGCTTGGTGCATTCGTTAACCAAAATGCATCTCTTAGATGTACCATACCTTTGAGATTTTCAAAGTCTTTACTCATTGGTATTTCTTATGTTGAGCTTACACCTTGAACTCCTTGTTTTAGTTTAAAACAATATATAAGCATATAAACCAGCCTGCTTATTGACGGGATTTTTTAACAATTTTTAGTTGTGATTTGAGTGGAAGTTTACAGAATTTCTTCACTCAGTCATTCATACACACTTTGCTTATAATATTGCAGTACCCACAATGTCTGATCATCTCCTTATTGTGTATTTCCTTTCACACCTTTTAATAAGGATATAGTAACTATTAATTTTTACTGCTCTCTCCCTTATTTCCTATCCCTAATAGCCATTCAGGAATGATTCTGTGTGCAAACTTTCCCTTAGCTTTTTGTAATAGTGATCTTATTCCATCTTTGTCTTTCTGTGACGGACTTGTTCAGCATGATGTCCTCCAAATGTATTCATGTTATGGGGTGTTTTTTGAGTTGTCTTTCTTTAGTGTTGCTTAGTAAATATTTCATTGTGTGGCTGTGTCATAGTTTCTTTAACCTTTTATCAGTTGATGGACACTCAGGTTGTTTCTAGCTCTTTGCTATCATGAATAATGCTGACAAACATGGACATGCATATATCAATTTCTATCACAGGTCTTCTTTCTCTGGGATATATACCTACTAGTGGAATAGCTGGACTAAATGGTATTTTAATTTTCAACTATTTAAGGAAACACCAAACTTCTTTTCATCACAGTCATACCATTCCTCTCAACAGTGTATGAGAATTCCAATGTTATTGAATATTGCTATATCTTATTGAACTTTGCTGTTATTGCTGGGATGAGACAATCTCTTGTTATCATTTTGATGTGCATCTCTCTAATAACTAGTGATCTTGAGAATTTTCTTTATGTGTTTGTTGACCATCTGAATGTTGTCTTTGGTGAAGTATCTTTTTCATATCTCCTTGCCCATTTTAACAGAGTATTCTTTTGAAATAATACACCTAATATCATGCTTGCAAATAGTTTGGCTTAAGTACAGGCTTCCTGACTTAAATAGGAGAGCCTCCTAAGTGCTAAGCCATGTTGGCCAGCTAGGCGTTAGCATAGTGAAAAGCATATGAAGAGCAACTGAAACTTGGATATGTGTCATTTGAGGGGAGTAAGGACATGAGAAATAAAATCATAGGGTGATATGTACAGATGTGAAAAATGGGTCCCAAAACTGTCCTAAAAAGTTCTAGGACATACCTTTTGGATGTAAGATTCTCTTACTTACTTTTAGGAATTTTCAGCTTCTACAAACAGTATCTTTGGATAGAAAGCACTATTATGATCTCTAGATTTATTCTCTTAAGTATTCCACATGCAGAAACCTTCACATTTTAATTTCATTTTCTTCCTAGTCTGATACTTTATAAAAAATATTCAACTGATTTTATGGAAACACTTAGTGTTTATGCATTTCTGCTCAAGCTTTATTTGTGGAAATAACTCATTTATCTAAGTGTCTTCTAAAACTTCATGTTCTCTGCAATATATTCTTCCTGAAAGACTTGTTATGTAAAAAAAGCGGTTAATATTTATTAAACATTTGCTTTGTGTCAGACAGTATTCAGAATATTTTATATTCTGCTCCACAAGGTAAAGGCTGTTATTATCTTTTGTGTGGAGCAGAGGACACTGAGACCTCATAAGACTAAGTAGCTTGCCCGGTGTCAAGGAATTCATACATGATGGAGCCAGTCTTCAAGTGTGAGTGGTCTGCTAAGTGTTTTGCTCTTCTACAGTCAGGAACCGCTTTTATGTCTCTTTTCAAAAGAATTACTGCCATTGCTTTTTGGCCACAAACCTTAGATTGAAGGATGACTTTATCAGGAAAGGATTCTTTATACTTGTCTTACCCAGGTAACCTTTCCTATAAATGTCATGAGTAAAGGGCAGAGCAAGAATATGACTCCTGTTTTCTGGGACCTGCTTCTTGAATTGTCCCAAGCTTGAGGTTGGTAACCTCAAATATGTTGTTCCATCATTGTGGATTAGGAAACAATGCCCTGTGTGAGAAACTCAAGGGAAGACTTTGCTTTCTCTGTCTTTTGAGTGTTCAGGTGACATCAAGAATAAATGGAGAGTTCAATTTGAACCTATCATGTCATCTTCTCCTATGTAGGGTAACTTTAGATAGGCAGGGCTTGGGAAAAGAATTCCAGCAGTACTGTCCTGTGGGCCAGGTCTCTTGGGAAAATACTCTTCTCTTTCTAAGAGAATCTACTGTTGCCTTAAGTTCTCTGATCAGTCCTTCAAGAACTGTTACCTAGGCTAGAAAAGTATGCTCCACTTTCCAGACAGCACATAGATGTTCTAGGCGCATACTTGAAAGAGCTGGGGAACGAGCTTGTCATCCTCACTACCAGAAAGCTCTACCTTAGTTTGCTTTGCACAGATGTACTACTGTGTTTTCTTCTGTTGACTTATGAACTCCTGAATAGACTAGACTGAATTTGTTTGTACATAGAAATAGTCATCAAGTGTAAAGGAATGTCACTTCCAATATGTTGAACTATCACTGACGTGATTTCTCTTCCTTTAGCCTCAGGATCTGCAGGAAAAGGAAGCCGGCTGCCAGATCTAGGACCTGACTACAAACCTCCAATGAGCGGTAAAATATTTCCTGTGACTTTTTGCCCAACTTCTAGGCATGAACCTATTTTTGTTCAAATCTTAAAATATCTTTTGCACCTTGTATATGGTAGATTCTAATATCTTAACTCTCTTTCATTTAAAACATCTAGGTTTGAGACATTTTTCCATAAATTGGTTTGCCACATCAGTGTTAGCCCATTGTGTTGCTGTTGCAGATAGGTGCCATAAGGTGGACCCCAACTCCTAGTGGCCTCACCTACAGAACACTGCCCAGCCTGCAACATTTTTACAATTGGTGCTGTTTAAAGCTATTTTTTAGGCCACTTTGTTGAGAGTGTGGGAATTTTATTTTGTTTCATTTCATTTCATTTCGTTTCGTTTCGTATTGTTTTGTTGACCACCTCCTTTGTCAAACATGCTGTCTTTCTCCAGACACTGTCCTTCCTGATAGCATATCCAGCATACATAAATCTTAGTCTCACCATAAGGAGCATGCTAGCAATTATTCTTCTTAGATAGGATCCGTAAATAATATTTGTTTTCCCATATATCCAACTTTAGGTCAAATTGATTTATTTTTTTCAGATAAATTTTCAAGAAATGATTCTTCTTTTGCCCATTGCCTTGAGAAAAGAATTGAGATCAGAGAGCTCTGGTGTGGCCTAGTGGTAAGAAGCTACACTGCAATCTGAAAAGCACATGATTCAAATCCACAAGCTGCTATGTGGAAGAAGGATGGACAGTCTCCTCCTGTATGATTTACTGTCTCTGAAAACCCACTAGAGAGTCAGCTGTGGGTCAATTCCAAGTCAAGGGTACACAATAACAAGTTTCAGAAATAAACCTTCTGATAAGAGGGAGATTAGCTAACACCCAGAAGAAATCAGAGATCTGTTTGAGAATCATCACGTTCTTCTCAGATTACGTACAGTAGTGTGCTTTGTGTGAGAATTCCACAAAGTTCTTCTCACTCTCCTCACTATTCCATGAGCTTGTTCTTTCTAGTTAGTTTAATGTTTTCCTCCTTTACTATAGAAGTTCACCACTTTAAATTATTTTCATACATTAAATCATGTTTGATCTTCTTAACACTGTAAAACAAGATGCTCAGATAGTCTTTGTTCCCATTTTACATATTAAGATACTCTGGATGTATATGGAGATAATTGTTGACTTAGTATATGTTTTGTTCCATATGTTTTCATCTCAATAAATTTAAAAGATTCTTAGTAGCTTTTTAAGATACCTGGGGCTGCCAACTACTTTACAGAGTCCTAAGCCAAAACTGAGGTTTCCTGACTTCTAATTCTGTCTTTTCTGTAACATATAGCCTAACAGACATGGGGTTCTGTATGAGATGTGGAAATCCAAAATGGCAAAATGTTCCAAAATTGTCATTATGTACTGTCGAGTCAGAACCAACCCAGAGCTCACTCTCCAGTGGGTGTTCACGAGACTAAATTGGATGGGAGGAGACTGCCCATCTTTCTCCTGTAGAGCAGCTGGTGGATTTGAACCACCTGCCTTTGGTTTGACAGTGTAGCTCCTTACCAATAGTTACCAAAAGTGACCATTACAGGCTTCTCACCCATGCCCAGATAAAAATATGACCATGAAAGACCTGTCCTCCAGAAACTTACCATTCATTTGTAGGAACACAGTGATCTCTCAGTCTCCAACTATCTGCTTAAATTAAAGTGATATCCCCAGACTAATATGAAACCAACTTATTCTTAGGAGAGCCAGTCCAAACATGTATGTTTCAAGAAATTTTCATGCTTTGAATTCTAGGATGTTAGGAGTTTCTCTTTTTCTAAAGTATATGTGTTAACATTTATGTGCTAGCCATAGTTTGTTACAGCTGTAAAAGAGTAGAGATTCCTCTGTCCTTTCTTTCACACCTGCATGCATACATTAAAAGATCAGACTTCATGTGACAGGCCATGGAGCAAAAGGCATAAATGACAAACTGCCCGGTAGAGACAAGGACAGCTTCATAAGTGACATGCAACTCAAGTCTGAAAGGAGGCTCAGAAGATTGCTAAACAGCTGGTAGGAAATTGTGCATTCCAAGTCTTAGAGCATGTGCAAAGGTATGGCAGTATAAGACAGCATGGTTGCACACTGCCTGGAGACGCAATGCTGATTGGGTTGAAAGACATGTGAGAACCAGTCCGTCAGAAGCTCAAGTGCAAGTGCTAAGAAGTTCAAGCTTTCTCCTGTGAATAACATATCTGAAAATTACTATATAGTATTACTTTAAGAGAATCAGTGAAAAAGAGAAAGACCCTCAATGACACAGTGGCTATAGTAATGGGCTATAAGCACAACAGAGATTGTGATGGTGAACAAGATCTGGACAAGGTTCATGCTCTTGTATGCAGGGTCACTTTGAGTCAGAGCCAACTTGATGACATCTAACAGCAGCTCTATTGCTGTGACAACAGTGAAGAATAAGGTGAGAGGTCAAGAGTATTACAGATAACTAGGAAGTTGCTGCAGGAGTCCAGGTGATGCCTAAAGCAGTGCCTTCTAATGTTGCCTGTGGTGGTGACATTGATGCTTCCTTTGGCAGCTCACCTGTGCTGTGTCTTAGAAGGAGGCATTTGTACAACTTAGATTTGAGAGGTTGAAGGCAGTTAAGAGAGAGCTCATCCCTGTTGCATCCGGAAAAGAATGACCACTTCCTCTAGTTACCTCTCATGCCCTAACCTCCAGCCTTTGATTTGCAGTGTCTTTCCCACTGTTGTAAAAATTTTTCTGTAAAGTCTGGCTCTGATATGAATGGTATGTATGATTTTATTGACCCTAGGCTCATAGTCCTGCCTGAATATTAAAATGTCATTTTCTTAAGGAAGGTCAATGTGTGCCATTTAGGTTTTCAGTATGCTTAACTTTTCCCCAGAAACTATATATAAGAGTGATTAAACCAGCTATAGAAGAGTACGCTCTTGAGCCCTTCTAACTCAGCCCCAGATTTAGTACTGGGCTTAGCTGTAGAATATAAAATCCGGTGGTTGAGCGTGGAGGGTCAGTTAATCCAGGGTTGTGGAAGAGATTCCTACAGTGAGTGTAAGATTCTAAATTTATAGGCCAGGCTATGTATGAGAATCACCTTAGAAACTTAAAACTTGCAGATTCCCAGATCAGTGCCATCATGGTAGAAATTTCTTCCGCAGCATCACTGATTGTAGGATGCTTCTTCCTGATTTCTCCTCTTCACTGAAGAGTCACTGCACAGCGAGGCAGCAGCTCATCCCACCATTCCACAACTCTGGATGTTTAAAAAGAGAGGCAAAGGTTGCAGATTATTCATGGTGCTTATATTTATGTCCTAGGATTGCCCACCTCTAATAATATGAACATGCATATGTTAATAAATGAGGTAGAAAGCTACAAAATCTAAGTGTCAAAAACCGGAAGATTGTAAGATCCAAAATAGAGCTCAGTTTAAAAGGCCTGGATCTCATCCTGTAAGCAGTGACAGAGGGACATAATAACAACAGTGTGTGGTGGTGTTATTATGCGCCTTTGAGTTGGAATTAATTCATAACTGAACAGCAACAGGAGGTTTTCACAGGGTAAAAGTCACATAGGAGGAGAGTGCCCATCTTCACCCCTCAGAGCTGCTCATGGATTCAAAGTGTGTGCCATGTGGGTGACAGTAAACTTCTTACCAGTAGACAACCAGAGCGCACTAATAACAGCAGTTGTTTTGGTGGTGGTGGTGGTGGTGGTGGTGGTGGTGGTGATGGTGATGTGCTGGTGATGTACCCTCAGGTTGGAGCTGACTCTTAGCAGACCCTCCAGCGGGTGTCGGAGGCAGTGAATTACTCTCAAGGAGATTACCTGTTCTTCTCCCACAAAGCCGCGGGTGCATTTAAACCACATGCTTTTGGAATTGCACTACAGTTTCTTACCACTAGGCTACCAGAGCTCCCCCAATAACAACATAGAAGAAAATCTGAAGAATTCAAAGTTCTGCATGGTCTGATCTCTGCCCATCTTTGTAGCTTCATCTTTAACTCTTTTCTTCTCCCTTGACTTTTAAATCTCTTTGTGCTTTCTTTTCTGTGAGCATGCCTGGTTTACTTCTATCCTAAGACCTTTGCACAATCTCTCAATCAATCAGTCACTCTCTCTCTTTCTCCTTCTCTCCTCCCTTTTTCCCCCCACCCCTTTCCCTCTCTTCCTAGCTTTGTATGGTGGAAGCTTCCTTATCATTCCTATTTCAGCTCAAATGCCACCTCTCCAGATGCTTCTAACCACTCAATCTAAAATAGCCAGTCAGTCACTCCATATCCCCTCATTTTCCTTTGTTTTTTCAGCATTTTTATTAACAGTTTATTTCTTTAGCATATGTTCCTGTTCCTACCCTCAACATTCACATCTGTGTTGTTCACCGTTGTACCCCTAGAACCTAGAACAATGACTGCTATATCTTAACTACTCAATACTTGTCAAAGTAATATATGTGCTGACCTACATTTTTCTTGAAGATAATTAAGAGGATTGACTCTGTACAGACAATATATAGTGAAACCTGTGAGACCTGGGACCCAGCAGGGCTGCCTTGCTGTTCATGGTCTTGCACATTTTCTGCCTTGAACAAGGTACAATCATACCACTTTGCCATCTCTTTCTGTTGAAACTCTTAAAGCACGTCACCATTGAATCAGAACCTACTCATAGCTGCCCCTCCAGCAGATTTTCAGAGATTCTAAATTTCATGAGAGGAAATTGCCCATTGTTCTCCTTCAGAGCAACTAATGGATTCAAACTACCTGCTTTTGAGTTGTCAGCACCAGTCCTTACCCACTACACTACGAGAGCTCCTTTCACTTTCTTTCTTTGTTGTTGATTTCATGTTAAGCAGTATGGTATAAATTATTATGAGATAGAGTCAATCTTGAAAGTATGTAAATCAGTCCTGAAGCCAGTGCTGAGTAAATCAGCCAAAAAGGGAAGATTTACCATAGAGAAATGCTTGTTGTACTTTACTTTCTTTTAGTAGAAAATCATTTTAGTTTCCCTTCTCTGACAGGTTTCTGCCATGCACAGGTTCCAGCTTTCACAGGTTTCACAATTTAAAAGCAGAGAGAATTTATTTTCAAGTGATTTTATAATTTCAGATAGTTTATGGTAGAAAAATGTTTACTTTATATGAATATCTTTTTAATACAGTTGTAGAAGTCAGAAGACTAGTTGATTGGCACAGGATGCTTTTTAAAGGGTTAGCTGTAAGACGTGAGAGAGATGAAGATGAGCCTTTATGTGTTCAGTTATATGTGAGCCTTTGGAAGTCAGAGCGTTCCGTGTAGTTGGTGAAGTGTTCATTGAACATCACCTTCGTACGATGCTCTGTGCTCAGAATCCTAGCTCTCCAGAAAGCCTTACTCTGGAGACATTCGTGTTCACAAGGCACTTCTGTGCACGGCTGAGGGATGAGTGTTATCACAGGGCTCACATAGTGTGGTCCTGTAGCCCAGGGGGTTCTTTTTATAACTCTAACACTATCAAATACACCATTTCCCCCCTGCAGGCAGTAACAGTCCTCACGGCAGCCCGTCCCCACTGGACAGCAACATGCTGCTGGTCATCATCGTGTCGGTGGGAGTCATCACCATCGTGGTGGTCGTGATCATCGCTGTCTTCTGCACCAGGCGCACCACCTCCCACCAGAAAAAGTAAGGATCTCTTGCCATGCTGCCTTACGTTTTGAGAATCCTTTTACTCCTGTTGCCCCGCAGCCTTATGTTTTGAGAATCCTTTTACTCCTCTTGCTCTGGCAACTTAGTGCTAAAGATTTGTGCTGTCAACCCTCAGCCATATAGATTGAATCCACTAGCTGCTTCACAGGGGAAAGATCTCCCTTGCAGCTTACAGCCTCTGGAAACCTGCTAGAGGGTCAGATAGGGGTCAGTTCCGGCCCAACTGTACAACAACAAAAAACATTTGCTTTTGTTTGGCTTCTATACTAGGAATTATGCACAGAATTAAAGATGGGCATTTTAGATACATTAAAAGGAACTAGAAAATAGTTCTTGGTTTTGAAGTTCCTGTTATATATGACAGCTGCCAAAGTCCTTGCTGGAAAGAGATGGCGCAGTTAAAGTTTAAAGAACAAAAGCATAGGTGGCGTAAAGGCAGTCAGGCACGGATTTTAAAGGTGTGATAATCTGCTGTCACACTTTGGCCTGAAAGGGCAAGAGGAGGAGTTTGAGTTCAGAGATCTGAGGCTTCAGATGGAAAGAAGTGCACTTAGGATGAGGAGGGAATAATTACTGCCAGTGTAGAAAGGGTAGTGGCTTGCTGAGGTAAATTTTCATCGATGTTTTCTACTTACTTCAGAAGACGGGTCATCGGTTGAGCTGTGCTGGTAGAAGAATGTAACCACTGCTGACCTCTAGCCCAGTAGAGTGGGAGTGGGAGCAAAAACATCTCCTAGCCACAGTGTCTAATTTTTTAATTGTGATTTTAATGAAAGTTTACAGAAAAGTTGGATTTTCATTCGTTCACTGTTGCACATTTTCCTCCCTACCCACCTCAGTTCACTTTAAAAAAAAAATATTCTTTATTGTCGCATAATTTTTTTTCTTTCCTCCCCCCCCCCGTCTATTTGCTGTGCACCTCTTATTCTGGACTATTATCATGTAAATAATTGTTGTTATGTGCCGTCGAGTTGTTTGCGACTCATAGCGACCCTATGTACAGTAGCCCTAAACCCTGCTCTATCCCGTGCCAATCTCATTGCCTCTGACACACCCATCCCGATTACCCCAGTCACTGAATCAATCACCTCATAGAGGGTCTTCCCCTCCTGCGCTGTCCCTCCATTCTGCCCAGTATGATGTCCCTCTCTAAAGACCTGTCTTTCCTTACAACATGTCCAAAGTATGTCAGGCGAAGCCCCAGAATTCTTGCCTCCAAGGAGCAGCCTGGTTTAATCCTCTCCAGGATGAATCTGTTTGTTTTCTTAGCAGTCCATGGTACATTCAATACTCTTCTCCAGCACCACAGCTCAAAGGCATCAATTCTCCTTCTATCCTCCCTAGTCATTGTCCAACTCTCTGATGCATAACAAGTGATTGCAAAAACATGGCCTGTATCAGGCGCACCTTAGTCTCCAGAGAGACACCGTTACTCTTGAGTACTTTAGAGAGGTCCCTAACCGCAGACTTTCCCATCGCAATACGTTTTTTGATTTCCTGGCTCCTGGTGCCAAGAGTGTTGACCGTGGAGCCAAGCAAACTGAAGCTGTGAACACTCTCAATCTCTTCGCCATCCATCCTGATACCTAATCATATATTCCTTTTAAACAGTTCTTTCCTTCAACTGTTCCATCAGTGTTCTTTATTAATCCCTTCTTTTCTTAGTTTCCCCAACCCCCGTGTGAGTCCTGTTTTATAACAGTGGTGTTATGCAGTATTTGTCCTTTTGTGACTGAGATATTTACCCCAATGTCTTGAGGACCTTCTATTGGCCAAACCCAACTGAAACCCAGGGTCAAAATTGCCAAGTAGATACAGTTCACTTAGCTCCACCTCTCAAGTTAGAGCCACATAGAGAGTCAATCTGGGGGGCAATGTCCTGCATTTCTGGTAAACTTCCCTGCAGTTAGATGTGCAGTTGTGAACTGAGCACACGGCAGTGTGTGGACATTCCTCCAAACAGCTTCATCATGCAGATGCCAACTGAGATGAAAGAAAACCAAAGCCTCATTACTCCAAATCAAAGTTTAAGAATATTTTTCAACTGTACCTTTTTTCTTTCAGACACATAATCATTTATCAGAGAGCTAACGTGTATAGAAGTTCTTTCTGGTTGGGTTGTGGGGGTAGTATCTTCCCATGAATTAAAAAAAAAAGGATCCCATAATTAGCATATTAATCTCACAGAGAGGTCAAATGGCTCCTATCTCTGACTGTCTTCTCTGGTGGTTGAGGCCAGTGAATAATGGTGGCAGGTAACAGAGGGGCTCAGTTTTATCTTGTTTGATTATAACCCACACTAAACTGCAGAGGACTCTTGACCCTCGACCAGGTCATACCTAGTCAGCAGGACAGATACCAAAAACAGAGACTCATGCATGGCCCATAATAAAATCCAATATAAGCAACCAAAGGACTTGAGTTGCAATATCCTAAAAGATCATAAGATGGGAGTGTTGCTCCATAAAGAAGTTTTGGGTCATGTTTACGGTTACCTATCTGACTTGGTCAGCCTAAGACAAGGCAAGTATATTTTATAGTGATACATTTTTGTTTTCACTAAGCAGGACAAGTACAGATTACCCTGTAGCTGAAATCACAAACAGCTGTAGTGACCGTTTTACTTTCTGTTGGCTATGTGATGTTTTTAAATTCTTCTTTCTTTTGCTTGAATGAAGCTACTTCCCACTAGCTTTCATTACATCATTTTCCCAAGAGAATGGTGTTCATTTTCTAAAGCAGCTAATCATTGCCTCTTATACCTCTCTTGACTCGTATTATATAAAAGTCTTGAAAGCTTCAAAGGTTTCCTTTTCTTTCTACTCTAGACATTTCCACAAGATTCTTTGTCAATTATTTATTTGCCTTTATTAACCTGATTTTATTCCTAGTTTTTAAAATCTTGATGTCTTTATTTAATAAGATTCTAAGAATAAACCAATGGAAAAGCCTTGGTGTTTGGGACAGTTAAGTCACAGTAATGGAAAAAAAAATAAGACCCTTGATTCCACATGTTAAGAAATGGAAAATGTTTGTGAATTTTTATGTTTGTATTTGAATCTGTAAACCCCATTCATTAGTCGTTGTTTAAAAGAATCACGTCAGGTCTTCATGGGGCTTTCCCCAGCAGTTTGCTTTCTGAGTGATTCCTCAATCATTGACGAAAACAAGTAAGTTTTTCTTACACTTCTGTGATCCCTGAAATAACTCTTATTTAAATTATAACTGCTTACACAGTATTACGATCTCACATTTTAAGAGCATTAAGAGTCAAACCCCTTACTGTTTGTAAGCACACTCTCTTTTCCGTCCTCACGCTCAACAGATGACCTGACTTGGACTTCATAAACTGTTAAGAAACTAGCAATAAAAAGTTATACTTCAGCATGCCACTATCCGATCTGAAACCTTTCTATGTTGCTCTTGTTGCTGTGTACCATCGAGTAGGAACCAACTCATAGCTGCCCCTCCAGAGGCTTTTCAGAGATAGTAAATTGCACAAGAGTTAACTGCCCATCATTCTCCTGCAGAGCAGCAGGTGGATTTGAACCTTGTGCCTTTGCGTTGGCAAGGTAGTACAGTCCCATTTCCTCCTCTTCCTAAGTGCACTTCCTCCCTTCTGAAGCCAGTTCCTTCATTTATGCTCTGGATCTTACTGCTGCTTCTCTCTCTAAGACCTGTAGTGGGTGATAACCTCATCCAGCATAGCCAGCTTCTCTGTTGGTTCTCTGCCCACCTTGAGCATTTACACATGTTCATGCCTTTTCTACCTGAACAAATAATTATAATCCTTCCTCTGTTGCCTGATCCTTACCACTAGCTGCTTCTCAACTCATCTTACCTTTCACCACATTTCTTGAATATTTACATGCATTCGCTTGTCCATTCCTTTCCTGTCTACTCATATTTCATTTCTTTCTAATGTGGATTTGGCCTCTGCTTTACCAGAATTAGTTTTGTTGAGATCATCAATGGTGTTCATATTGGTTAAGTCGGGCACTTTCAGTCCTCATCTTGCATTGTTTATCAACAGTATGTAATAGTCTTCTACTCCTTTTATTTTTTTTTTTTCTTAAAGCATTCTCTCTTTCCCTCTGTGATATGTTCTCTTGTATAGTCTTTTTTGTGAACTATCCTATCTTCTCAGGGCCTCCTGATCCCGGATTAACTCTCTTCTCCCTCTATGCTTTTCTCAAATGAACTCATCTACTCCCATGACTTCACTTGGTATCTGCATTCCAGCTACACCTATATTTCCATCATTAGCCAAGACCTCTCTTTTCTGAGGATCAGACTTGCATACCTAATTACTTCTTCTGTATTTCCCTTGGAATGTCTCAGCATGTCCAGGTTAGAATTTATAATCTTTCCTGTCAAACCTGCTTGTCCTCCATTACTCTCAATTTAGTAAACGGCTGAAATGCCTTTAGTTTTCTCTTTCACCCATTCCCCAGCTCTACATCTATTTACTCATCAGGTCCTCCTATTTTTTAGTTTTAAATAGCTTTCAGTTCTGCTACTTTACCTTGACATTCATGTTGCCCTAGGCCACAATCGGTCACAGCTGAGACTCCCCCACCCACTAAAGCCATAGCTGATGTAAATGTTTTACTCAGAATTTATCTCCTTACTTTCCTGTGTAAAGGTATTTAATGACTTGTTACCCATAAATGGGAGTTCATGCTCTTAGCATATCTCAACAGCCCTTTAATCAGACACTCTCTAACATCATTAAAGTGCCTATCTCTCCCATTTGTGCCCACCACTCACTACCACCTTTATCCTTCTTATATACCAGGCTGTCACTGTGCTTCAGGGCGTGGGCTTGATCGGATTTTGCTACCTGAAATGCACTCTCTATCCCTTTAGGTTTAAGCTTAAATGTTACTTCTTCCTCCAGGTTTTCATGTTCACCTTAGATCCAATAATTAAAAGGTTACTGCAACACTTGGTATTTTTTATGATTACCTCTTTATTGGAGATAAACCTTCCCTTCATCTAGCTTAATATATGTCAGTTAGCTAATTTACTGATTTTTCCTCTCCTCCCTTTGCCACTTCTTGAAGCTTCTAGAACATTCTAAAATAGCGGTTCAATGTCTTTCTTCCTCCCATGACTAAAAGTGTTATGAGGGCTCAGGATTTAGCCCAGGGGCTGACATATATGAGGTACTTAATAAATGCTTGTGGAATGGCTGACTGTGAGTGAAGAGATAAATACAACTCAGAGAAATAAATGCCATCTTCTCCATCGTAACTATCCAGTTGTAGTCTCCGTTTCAGTTACTACAATGTCGTTTGTTCCCTTCCTCTTTGTAAATCATTGATGCTACCACGAGTTCATTTTCATAGTCGTAATTAATTTTGTCTTTTCTCTGCTGATTAGAAATTTGTGGACAAAAATTCTGCTTTAGTGGTTATTCAGTAAAAATGCTATTTTAATCTTCTCTTGATACTCAAAAATGTAGTCACAGACAATATTAAAATATACGTTGCATGTGTATCTAGGGAGCTCTGGTGGTGTGATCCACGGGGAGTTGAACTGCTTACCCAAAGGCTGCACATCTCTTAGCAGTTCGGATCCTCCAGTATCTCTGCAGGGAAAAGATGGACAGTCTCCTCCCAAGTGAATTAAGGGCTCAGAAACCCACTGGAGGGTCAGCTATGAGTCAGTTCCCATTTGAAGGCAAAGAGAGAGAGAGATACCGCTAATACATGAAGTATATGAATGAAGTAAAGAGATTCTGCTGTTCCCAGAAATAAACAGCTTACTTATGTTTTTAAATTTCTTCTTTTCCTTGAAACATCTCTCACAAAGGCAACTTTAGACATTTAAGCCTTTTGACAAATATGTCCATAAGTTACTAAAACACACAACTATTCTCTCAATTTTTTTTCTATAATTATATTTTATTAATTTTCATAAACATTTACAGAGATTTTGGGTTTCCATTCATTCATTGTTGCACTATATTCTCTCAATTTTGTGCCTAGGAAACGAGCTGCATGCAAGTCAGTGAATGGCTCTCACAAGTACAAAGGGAATTCCAAAGATGTCAAGCCCCCAGACCTCTGGATCCATCACGAGAGGCTGGAGCTGAAGCCCATCGACAAGTCTCCAGACCCAAACCCCATCATGACAGATACTCCGATCCCAAGGAACTCTCAAGACATCACGCCTGTTGATAATTCCTTGGACAGCAATATCCATCAAAGGCGGAATTCATACAGAGGTGCCATTTTAAGTGCAGACGTTTCCCCCCATATGTTCACAGACTGTCTTCATTTCAGTAATTATCTATTTTCTAAAGTTGCTTAGATCTGGAGCTTCCTATACAAAGCCTAGGGAGCTCTTTGGCCTAGTGGTAAGAATCTGCACTGCAATCCCAAAGCCAGAGGCATGCGGTTCGAATCCACAGCTGTTCTGTGTGAGAAAGAAGGGCAGTCTCCTCCCGTTCAATTAATTGCCTCTAAAAACGCACTGGAGGGTCAACTATGAGTCGGTTCCGACTCGATGGTACTCAGCAACACACAGAGGCTTGGTTTAAATAAGGGAATGTGGTTATCAGTTGATGGAGAATCACCAGCTTGTTACTGGGGTAGAGATTCCATGCCTGGAAGATATAACTTTCTACACCTTTAAACCCCTCAGCAGGCTTCACGTATTTGTGGGAACCCGGCCTGTGGCTGTGTGTTTCATTCCATCCTTTCTGTTGGAATTCAGCTGTCATTGTGATGATCACAATGTTCTTGGTCTGAATATCTTTACTCACAGACGCCCCACTGAAGCCTGGTCAGCAGCACTGTGTCATGTGCACTGACTCTCATCAGGGACTCCTCTATGTTCTAATGATCACTTCCTCTTTAGCTCACTTCCTGCAGATGGGCTTTGTGCCTCTTACCATATTGTTTGTGAGACCTTAGTCCCCCACTAGAAATGTTTTACTATTGAGGCCCAGGGCACACACTTGTAACCAATCTCTGATTTGCTCTCTAGGGCATGAATCAGAAGACAGCATGTCTACACTGGCTGGAAGGCGGGGAATGAGACCAAAAATGATGATGCCTTTTGACTCTCAGCCACCCCAGCGTAAGTCCTAACCAGTTATATTGGGGAGCGATTATGAATTGTCTCTTTAAGTTTACTTAATCATAACACAAAAAGGACTTTTACAAAAGCATTGACATCTAGGGGGCAGAAATAGCAGACATTGGTCATATTTTGTAATAAAGTATTATTTTTGAGACCATCATCTTTAGTGTTTAAGTAAATAAGCTAAAAAGACAGTTTTCTGAGTTTCCCAGGAAGAAGGAAAGGCCCCCCCTGTAGGCCAAGATGGAGGACAGCCAGGTGTCACAGGTATTCCCTAGGTTTCCTGACACATATTCTGCATTAATGTTATATATTCAAAATATGTTAAGCAGTGGAACACATGAATTACTTATGCTCAGATTTCTGTGTCTCTTCCTTCTGTGATTTCAAGTTAGAGAAGGCTTTCTTAGTGGGGCTTCCACGTGACAATCCCTGTACCATCTTAGAGTGGGAAAGCAGCCTTATTCAATCACTGACCCGTTCAACTTCCAATGGAAGGTTCAAACACTGTTGATGTTGAGGTATTAGTTGTTGGTCTAAGGTGACCAGTAGACTAGTAAGACTTGACTCTATAAAAAACATAGACTCAAATCCTGAAACATCCAGTAGGTCACTACTCATTTTAACATGAATGCATTTTTGTATTTTCTATTTAATTCTCATTTCACATCTAGCAACAAGCTCTCTGTCAACAAGTGGCAGTGATTTAAATAGACATGGGTATCCCACGCACCAACAGGTGCAGTGACACCTGCACTTGAAAAGGATCCTAACATTCAGCCTCTGTAGTGCCCCTCAGGCCTACAGGTGTCTGCATGCGTGTGAACACAAACTGGCCATATACAAATTTGTAAGACACTAGACTAAAAATCAGCCCTTAAACAGTAAGGATCTACTCAAACTACACAAAGTAGTTTGCACGTGTGCAATTAAGCAAGGCCTGTGCTTGGAAGCATGCAGGGAGGAAATATGGTTTTCTTTTTATAAGAAATGCCTGGATGGATACCCCAGATATAAAGACACATTGCATGAAAAGAGTAAATTCATCCAGTCCTTTTGCTTTTGATCTTTTAAGATCAAAATCAGAACCTGACTCTGCTTAGTGTTAGACTTATCTCTTACCTAAACTATTTTTCAAACTCATAAGACTTGTCTTTCCCTATTCCTAGTTAGTGCTTTTAGCTGTGTTAGGGCCAAGAAGATACCTTATACCAGTTGATGGAAAGAGTACATATAATACTGTGATTTAACAACATTTAATTTGTGCCTCTCAAAGCAGATGAGAGTGGAATATTTTAGGTGAGAAATCTGAAACCAAGTACCCAGATACTGTATTTTTCATCTTTGGGTTTTGAAATAGTCTTACATCCTCACGGACATAGATCTCTTCCACAGACTGGGCTTCCCCAGGTCCAGGGAGGTGTGAGTTCATGCATCCACCATCTCTCTCCCCTTATCTTCATTGTGCAGTGCTTGGGGCGGGGGGGGAGCGGAGCCTGCTGGTGCTTGAGTATAAAGGTGGCCCAATCCACCAGCTGGGTTTCTTCTTTACCACAATAACATTGAGTGACTCCACAAAGGTCTTGGGAGATACCTGGTGACAGGGAACATTTTAATGGGCTCCAGAGGGCTAATTAAGTTTAACCACAAAGTTTATGAAGCCCTGACTTAGAGAAGAAAAGACTACCTCTGCTCCTAGTCAGCACTGCCTGTTTGGAGATTTAGAGCCGTTTCTCTGGACCTTAAATGTTCTATTCCTATAGCTTCTCTAAGGGAATGAGCAACAGTTAAGTTTACTCTAGAAATCGAGTTTCTGATTGGTTTTGTCGTTTTTCATTTCTGGAATAGATACTGAAGCTTGATTAAAGAGGGGTTTGGATTCACAGTGAAGTTGTATGTTGAATCTCTGTGGGTGTGATGGAGGCACAAGACTGGAAACAGTCAGAGATGGTGCCACAGGCCTGTTGTTCGTGTTTTTAGTACTAACATGGGCCATGAAATTTCAGTGATATTTGTGTTCCTTTTAAGATAGGAAAGTGGCTTAAACAGTCACTCAGGCACCCAGCTTAAGTACCTACTGCTTGCCTCATTTAGTAATTAAGAAAAGGCAGAATGAATTGGGAATATGCTTCAAAGAGAAAGGACTTCAATATTTTTAATAGAGAAAAATAGAGCTGTCCTTTTTCTTGCACTCAAATAAATAATGTGCCCACACTTCCAATGGAAATGGTGAAATTAAGCAAAACAGTTCTGACATAATGTAGCTGTAATTTTGTGTTAAAATGCACTGCTAGAAACCTCAGCCATCATTTATTTGCTTATGAATTAATAGCTCAGAACATTTCCAAGTAGATATGTTTAATAACTCGTATAATCCATGTTTACTGTGGAAGAACTGAAAGATACAGATAAGTCAAAAGTGTTTTTTAACCCTGATCACTGTTGTCTAGAAAATAATCTCTCTGCTAACCTTTTAGTATTTATTCTTCCAGTTTAACCCATACACACATAACAGAAAGCTAGATAGACATACATACGTGCATGTATACAAATAGTCCATTTTTTTAAAAACTGGAGAATTCTTAGCTGATTGTCTAAATCTAGTCAGCTGCCACCAAAAAAGCCCAAACAGTGGTTGGATTGCCTGGGAGGTGGGCCGGGGCAACAATGTTTATTGAACTGTGATCTGTGTGTGTCTGTGCAAGCATGTTAAGCATTTCTCTGTCTTGTGTTCATTCACAGCTGTGATTAGTGCCCATCCCATCCATTCCCTCGATAACCCTCACCATCATTTCCACTCCAGCAGCCTCGCTTCTCCAGCTCGCAGTCATCTCTGCCACCCGGGCAGCCCCTGGCCCACAGGCACAGCCATGTCCCTTTCAGACAGGGCCAATTCCACAGGTGAGAGATAAGGCTCAAGCCCAGACGGAAAGCCTCGCAACGATTGGCACGCTGAGATGGGGAAGGGCTTGCCCTGCGTAGAAAAGGGATTTGGAATTTGTCTCAATGTTGTTTATTTACCATGATATTTCTGCTGTTGGCTCAGACTTGCTTCTGTAAAATTCACCCTGTTTTTCTTCTTAAATTCAGATGCTCAGTGCATATTGTATTCTTTTCGAAAAAAACAACAGTAACTCTCCTCACATTACCATCTCTTGTGCCATAAACCTAATCTTAATTCAGTCTTTTTTTTTTTTTAATTGTTCTCTTCCTTTAATCTGAAAGGATTTCAGGGTGATTTTCAGACACCAGAGGTTGTTATTCCGTTTGCCACACAGTCCTCGTAACGGTAGGATGGTCGATAAAGTGAAAATTACTTATGGATCAGAGTAACCACAGCTGACGAGCAATGAGCAGTTGAGGGAGGTTTCTAACCCAGAGGCCTGGTTCACTTTACGCATGTTGTACACCTCAGGCTGTCTGCTGTGTGTGTTAAAACTAGGGAGGCACGCACAGGCAAGAGTTCTTTCTCTCTGAAAAACAGATAGGAAATGAGCACAGCAATCCAGTGAGGGTGAAGGAAGGTGCCGGGGCATGGTCAGTCACCATACCACATCAAAGCAAGTTTAAGGGGAAAAGAGTAAGCCACAGAGGATGATAGTGTAAGTATTATAGGGCAATACTAAGTATTAGCATTCCTTGATTAAAAATTAATTTCCAAAAAGAAATTAATTTCTAGTCCCTTGGTTTTAAAGTACAACTGTAGGAACTTCTCATATTTACAATACACTCCTTTTTCATCACATGAAATCTGCCTCTTACTAGTTGCCTAATGTTCCGGGGTGGGGTGTCTCTGGTGGCCTGATGAGTAAAGAATTGCACTGCCAACCCAAAATGAAGTCGTTCTGATCACCGAGCTGCTCAGAGAGAGCGGTGGGCATCTCCTCCCATTCGACTTGTGGGAAATCCCACCAGAAGGTGAGCTGTGACTTGGTTCTGACTTGGCAGCCCAGAATGACAACAGTGACGTTTCTGGTAAAACTGACTTTTGGCAGTGCTTAGAAGTAAGAGACTTTTAAGTGAGTTCTATGTTGAAATAACCACATAATTTATAGTAGAAGTCTGGGTCCCCTATAATTTATAGTAGAAATTTGGGTTACCAATAAATGTAGCATCCTCCTCTCCTCCAAGTCCTGATCAACCATAGATATACCCAAAACATTAAATGAAGATCCAAGGTCATTTGAGGATGTCTGATAACTCCCAAAGGTACGCACTGTGTCTAAACATTGACCTTGCTATTATCTTCCTCCAAATCAGGTTTGAAAGCCTGCCTTTAGAACCACAGTTATTCCAGGCAGGCCGCTGTACGAAGTCTGCTTCCCAAACTCATCTCAGAGGATCAGGAAGCAGCCCTCCAAAGCTCATCTCAAAATGCAGGCTTTGTCATTTTCTGAGATGTGGGTCTGCAGGCAGGCTCGTTCTTCCTGGCCAGCTGAACCCCTTCCTCTGTCCTCCTGGGCTAAGATGAGAGGGTAGGAGTAGAGGGAAGCATGGTAGCTGCTACCCAGCCTTCCTTGAAGGGTCTGATTTCATGAAAGTCCCTTTCTCTGTGGGCCTAGCCAGAAAGTGAAATGAGGAAAAACAGTAATGATCGCCATTGCTGAATGTCATTGATTACTAAAAGGCCCTTTGCTTTAGTGACGAGAGAGGACAGAAGAAAGTAAAACTGAAGTGCTAGGTTCACTGGGGATTGATTTGAAATGTAGAGCAAGCATGGAGAAGTGGCCCGAGTCCCCGTACTACCATGACTTCCCGAGCCCTGGTATCTCATGAACTTTGTGCAACTTAAATAACTGGAAGGGAAATGGATCCAGAATTAGGCCTGTCACCAAAGCAGAAGTTGTTACTCCAGAATAGCTGTCCTGGGAGGTCATTGAAGACCAGCATCAGGGGTTACCTAAAGCTAACACCTTGTGACTGACACCCTCTGTCATGTAAAGTGACCTGGTCAAGGCTGACTTCATTTGTGCAGTCCTGGTTTCCCCTTGGTACTCATAAGCTGTATACATCGAGTTAAAGGCATTTTAAGCAGCCAGGAGGAGGCCTGTGTGACCAGGTTAGATTGTAAACTTGCTTCCCTGCACTACCACACTTCCTAACTTGCAAATCACAGATTTGGGGCCCACAGTTCCCCAGCTGTGGTGATGCTGACTCCAACAAGCGTAGGAAGTGCTATCCTCAGTGCACTCCTCTTGAGACTGAGAAATGAGCTAGGCTGGGGTTATCACAAAGCCGAGTGTGGGCACTTGGGGGCGGGAGATAGCCTGCCATCCCTGGGACCTTTAAACTGAAGAACTCGCACTCATACTGTCAAGGCCTGCCTGATTCATACTAGGTGAATTTTGGGCAAGACAGGACAATATTTTATGTGATGGTTCAGAGCATGAGCTTAGGAGTCCTGAGTTAAGAGGATTAAACAAGATGTCATGTTCATGGTCTGGTGGCTGGCTTAGAGAAGGCATTCACTAGTTTAAAAAGAAAAGAACCTTGTTATTTAAGCAGCACATCTCTCATTGACTGTCATTGATTCCTCCCAGAACTGTGTACAGTTCTCCCAGTTTTACGGATGAACGAGTTAAAACTCACAGGAACTCAGTGACTCCTAAATTACCCAACTACTAGCAGACTGGACGGGAGCTCTGGTGGCCTAGGCGGGAGAGAAGTGCACTGCCAACCCCAAGGCTGGTAGTTCAAATCTAAAGATGGTCAGTCTCCTCCCATGTGATTTACAGGCAGTGGCAGTGAGCTTGTGGTTTTTCGCATGTGCCAAACAGAGCCCAGGTCTCTGTCTCCGAAGCCAGTGTTGTTTCTGCCCCTACTCAAGAACAGCTCTGTAACCTCTTCATGTATTTTGAGATGATCATCTTCTTTCTGACTTCCCTTCTGCAGGCTGATCTCCCCGTTTCTTTCTCTGGGCTGGCATGGCCTCATATGATATGGTGGAAAAACTGTGCATAGCTGTCTGGACCATTTTGTTGTCTGGGTCTCACTTAGCTGTTGCCCTGTTGACTTTCCATGGTCCTGAGAGAACATGCAGGGCCTATGGCCTTGACCTTCCCTGTAGGAGGCAGCACCCTCACGGCTGAGCAGGCATTTGCCAGGTGCCCAGGTGAGCGTGCTCACTGGGCGTGGTTGCCTGCAAAAGGTCAGTCTGCCAAGACTATTGATCAGTGAATGGAAATTTTCATTTTCTTTTCTGTTTGCTGTGTCTTAATAAACAGTTGTCCCAGGAACTTTTACATGTGTTCCCTAATAGATACAGAGGAGAACTTTAAACTTCTAATTATAACCATTTGGCTGTGTAGGTGGAAAGATTGGAACAGCTGGTTGACAACAGGATTTCTTGGGGCTCTTAGATTAGTCCGTTCTGAGCGTTGATGGTGATGCTCACCCGTGTTCTCTTGGACTCCTATTTATTTTCAGCTAGTTTAGGGAGCTGCGTTATAGAAGTAGCCAAAATGTTGGGCTTTGCATGTGTTTTAATAATAAAAGAAATGCTAACATTTGGACTTTTCTGCTGTAGAATCCGTTCGAAACACCCCCAGCACTGACACCATGCCAGCCTCCTCGTCTCAGACGTGCTGCACTGATCATCAGGATCCTGAAGGTGCTACCAGCTCCTCCTATTTGGCCAGCTCTCAAGAAGAAGATTCAGGCCAGAGTCTTCCAACAGCCCATGTTCGCCCTTCCCACCCACTGAAGAGCTTTGCTGTGCCAGCGATCCCACCTCCGGGGCCGCCCACCTACGATCCCGCACTGCCAAGCACACCATTGCTGTCCCAGCAAGGTGAGAGAGCAGACCCACACAGGTGCCCTCCAGCTCAGGCACGGGCCAAAAGTCTCTGCTTTGAAAAAATTAACAAGCTTATCCCAGCAATTTAGAGTAGCAGTGTTTTGGTGCCCCACTCAGGGAGTACGTGACACCCCCTCCCCCCTTTGGAAATACAAAGGAACCAGAGAGAAGTGGAGACAAGGGTTGACCTTTTGAATTGTGTTTTATGTGCAAAACTCTTGGTGGTTCAGAAAGCAAGTTTTAGGCAAAGTATTGGACAAGAGATGTCGTTTACAACAGCCTCCTGGAATTGCCTTACTCCATAAGGCTGCTAGGAGTGAGGGAGGCCAAAATTAGCCTCCTAGGATGCTGAAACAAGAAGAAATCAGAGTGGAGAAATGAAGCCTGCACAGAGAGGTGACCTTCTCAAGTTCTGACAGCTCAGCAAAGGCCCGACCACACAGGCGCACTTGTCCCATCACTTCTGCCTCAGGTGATTTATCTCAGCCTGGGCTGTGATTCTCAAAATATTTAGTCTCAAGACCCATTTATGTTCTTAAAAGTTCTTGAAAACATGGGAGAATTTTTCTTTACATATGCCGTATGGACCAGTAAACCTGACTTTTTAGATACTAATTCATTTAAAAATAGTAATACCTTTGGTGGATGTTAACATAAGTAGCATATATTTATGAAAGTAACTGCAGCAGAACCTGTGAGAGCCAGAACCCAGCTTTATTTTCTCAGGTCATACAAAGCTTTTCACCGTCAACAGTGTGCAGCCTTTGTTTTAATGGAAGCTGTTTGAGGTTTCTTCCCCTGACAAGTGTTTGCCTTACACAGTTTCCACATTTCTCAGGTTTTACTGCATTATTTTTCAAAACAAAAAAAAAGTAGTGAGAAGGTGACAACAGGTGGCAGTTTCTAAAAAGGAACCCGAAGCCATATTAATAAACCCTTCTCACTATGTTTCATTAAAATCCATTGTTCTATCTTGTGCTTTGAAGACATGACTTTGAAACAATGCAAATTAGTCATTTGGAAAATACTGGTTCAGTAAGTTCCATAGATCCTCCAGATATTAACATTAACACTGTAAAAGCTCACTCATGACTAACAAGTAGGCACTGACCCATAGCAGATACTCCAGCAGGTTTTCAAGAGGCTGGAAATCATAAGGGAGGAGATTTCCCTTCTTTATCTCATGAAGCGACTGGTGGATTTGAAACCCCTCCCTTTGGGTTGGCAGTGCACCTCCTACCCACTGGACCACCAGAGCACCCTACTGACATAATTAGACAGTATCTAAGAACACAGTCATTAATATCACCAAAGGCTTTTATGGGGTGCTGTTTTGCTCATGGTAACAGATTCAAATATTTAAAAATTCTAATTTTCATCTAAAAACTTACCAGTGGCAATAAATCCAGTCCATTGTTTTCCTTGCAGTAACAAATTTGTTTCATTAATTTTTCTAGAAAATGTCTACCAAGTGTCAAAGTCTACATAACCCGCACGCCTGCCAGTCTTTATTGGGCACAGCAGTGCCACTCCCTGATAGAGGTGGCAGGTCAGCCAGCAGCTAACTCACTACCACAGACGCCTCTCTGTGAGGCAGCCTCGTTCCTGTGCCTGCTTTCCAGTCATCACGCAGAATGTTGAAAAGACGTGTACTCAGTTGGCTGATATTTAATAGATTGAGCTTACTGCTTCATTAGGAATGATCTTAAATGCACGTCCACATCCGTGTATGGCTTTGTTGGACGGTCTGGTGCCACTGCCTTGATTCGTGCTAAGGCTTCAGCATAAAGGCTTTGAACTATCAGTACAAATGGCAGTGCAGTGAAAAGGGAAAATGATTAATAACCTTAGTATTATTATGAAGAAACTCTGCTAGCCTAGTGGTAAGGAGTTGCACTGACAACCCAAAGGGAAGTGGTTCAAATCCATCAGCTGCTCTGAAGAAAGATGGCAGTCTCCTCCCATGCAATTTACAGCCTCTGAAAACGTGCTGAAGGGTTGTTTCTGACTGGATGGCACATAGCAACACCAGCATTATTATAAAACAAGTTTTGACATGACCGACAATCTGACAAGAGTCTGCACCATTATACTTTGAGAGCCTCTGCACGAGGGTATTGTTTTCTGAGGCCAAAAGGAATATTTACTCTGGCCTCTTGAATGCACTGCTTTCTTCCTTATGTCTGGTTCCAGTGCCTTTTGGGGAACGGATCTGAGAGCTGGGTCTGGTGAGCAGGCCACCCATACACCTGATGGTGTCCTTTCCTCCTCAGCTCTGAACCATCACCTTCACGCTGTGAAGACAGCCTCCATTGGGACTCTAGGGAGGAGCCGGCCTCCTATGCCAGTGGTCGTGCCCAGTGCGCCCGAGGTGCAGGAGACCACGAGGATGCTGGAAGACTCCGAGAGTGTAAGTGCAGGTGCCATGAGCCCAGCGAGTCCCTGTGTGTGCGCTGAGCTGGTGCTGCATGCGGGCCCAGGCTCACCACATAGAACTGGGAAGCAGGCCTCCCCTCACTCAGCTCCTGTGTGGAACATCTCCGAGCTCTGTGCGTGGGTCCTTGGTCAGCTCGCCCTCACACACACTCTGGGTTCCTTGGATCCACTTTCCACACCAGCGCAGCTAGTGATTTTTTCCCCCCTCACTTCCAGCCTGCCTCCCAGAGTTCTCCTTTCTCTCTGAGCCACTGTTCTTGGTTTGAGCCATCCTCTAGTTCCTGCACCCTTCATCCTGCTTTATGGCCTCACTTGAGGGGAAAATGCTCGAGTGGTTGCTGTAAATACAGAGAGACATCAGGCCTCACCTTTGGACTTTCATTCTCACATTTGAAAAATGTGCTGCCTGTATGTTTTTAGGCACAGGGCACAGGAGAGGGAAGCTGGGCCCCAGAGACCCAGGGATTAGACACCAGCAGTGTCAACACCAGCAAGATAGAGGCAGGGGCAAGGTCACAGTCACCTAACCTGTGACCTTGAAGAAGTGTGTTGGAGGAAGACAGTTTTATAACCTGAGGAGATGGGTAATTCCTACCCCAGGATTTTAATGGTTTTCATTTAAGGTTTTAATGATGTTGAGCACACCTTGTCATCCCTGTTTTGAATCATCTGGCCAGCCTAGATTTTAGGGGCCAGTCCTGTGACACTCGACACTTTGGCCTTTCTCCTGCCTGGCTGGCCCCCATGTCATCACAGTAACAATGTCCTCTTCCCTGCAGAGCTACGAACCAGATGAGCTGACCAAAGAGATGGCCCACCTGGAAGGACTGATGAAGGACCTAAATGCCATCACGACAGCATGACAGCCTTCACCAGGACGTGACTCCAAGCCTGAGTCTAGAGGTCTTGGGACTTAGCCTTGAAAAGCAAGGAATTGTACAGAATACGAGAGGACAGCACTTGAGAACACAGAGTGGGCGAGCGAGCGGACGAGCCAGCGCCTCCGGGAGTCACTGCAGGCGCGGCCACCTGCCTTCTCCCGGTCCGCCTGGAAGAAGCCGAGTTGAGGCAGCTCCCCTTGACCTGCTGAGACCCTCCAGGACTGGGCACCATGGGCCAAAATTCCGCGTCCGGGGAAGAGGCAAGACAGGCAACCAGATTTCACTTTGTGGTCCGGCTGCTGCGTCTTTGAGCTGCAACTGCATCGCCTTCATGGAGTGTAGACATTGACTTTTACGTACAACTTTATTTGTGTCCTATTTTATTTTACCATTAAACAAAAAACAAAAACCACACACTCTCAAGAACCATGGACGTCCATGGTGTTCTCCGCAGGTGGTCGACGGTTGACTGCTTGTTCAGTTATGTGCGGAAAGTCATTGACAGTGTGGGTTGTTCCAAGGGTTGGCTTGTTTTTATATTTGTTATTTTTGTTATTTTCATTCTGAGTCATTGCATCCTCTGCCAGCTGTTAATCCATCACTTTAAAGAGGGAGGAAATGTTGCGTTGCTGTTTAAGCTTTTTTTATTATTATTTTTTTATTATAATTATTAAAGGCCTGACTTTCTCCTCTCATCACTGTGAGATTACAGATCTATTTGGGTGAAATGTAACATTGGAAAGATTTGTTTGTTGCTTTCTGTGCAGTTTCAGTATTGGGGTGGGCATGGGGTGGGGGTTGGGACTAGGAAATGGAGGGGCGGCTGAGGTTCTGTGAATGTTCTGGTCATTGTCCTTTCTTCCAGAAGCCTGCAGAGAATGGAAGCATCTTCGTTGTTCTTTCCTGGCATGTCCATCTCTATTGTCACTACCTTGCAACTGAAGTTTTCATTTGGATCTGGTTTAAAAATCCTGTGCAATAGGTGGGTTCATGGGTTTAGCTATCCTCACACTTTGGCCACACCCCAGGAAAGCTGTCCTTGCCAGGCCCCAGATACAAGAGTGGTGCAGAGCAGGCACCCACTGAGGCCCTGGGAGACCAGAGAGCAAAGCGTGGAGCCTGTGTTCTTCTGCTGTCCCTGGGCCTCTTTGGAGGAATTTGGGGTTAGGGAAGGAACTCCATATGTGAGCCTTGCTTCTCTCCGAGTCTTGTCCTCAGCCAAGCAAAATCTCATGTGCACACTTCAGAGCCCTTCAGAAAAAGCTCACAGCAAAGATGGAGCAAGGCAGGGGCCAATAGCACTCACCTGGCTCCTCGTTGTCCCTCCAAACATTGTTCTTCTCGTGGGGAGAGACAGTGGTGTGGGCTGGACCCCTGCAGCCCAGCTACTCAGTTGAGTCCCTGGCTAGAAGGCTGAGGTTTGCAGACAGGCTTAGCCTTTTCCCCTGGAAACTTCTTGATAAATGTTCTTCTTTAAGAGATAGAAACTGAGAGTTTAAATATTGGGTATACAAGACTGGCCATCAGGCATCTGCCCCCGCTCCCTAACATATCCCCAGGAGAGAGTGGAGAGGACCCAGCATGGGTACCAGTGAACTAAACAGGACTTCAGCACTGTAGCAAGAAGGTTTCAGCTGCTGAGACCACCAGTGGGGCCCCTTCCCAAGCAGCTCGCATGGGGCTCAGCATGGCCTGGCCTTGGGCCCCGCAACCCTCAAGCTGCTGCTGGACTGCTGGCCTCTACATCAGACATCCCCCTTTAGGTTTTGTCACACATTTGTTCTGCTAGATGAACTCATTATATTTATTATTTTGGGGGCTGTGGATTGTGCAGTGCTAAAACTCCAGCCGCTGTGCTAGCTGGTCACAGAGTGTGGCCCCAGCAGGATTCTGGAAAACCAGTGCGCTAGGGCTGATTGTAAAAGAGCCCCCAGCCATCTGGGCACCAGGAGGGCTCAAACCCCCAGAAACTGTCAGACCGTTGCCCAAAGAAACATGCTCAGTATTTGGGGTGCCCATCCCATGAACCCTGATACTTCTGTTACCTCAGGGCCTTGGTACCTGGATACTGCCACAGAATCGGGGGGGGGCGGGGGGGAGGGGAGGGACATATTTTTAAATAAAAAAACTGTTCAAAGTTGGGGAATTTTATAAAAAGTTACAAAAATAAAAGGAAAGCTATTCTGTATTGCACCTTTTCACAGTTTAATACGTTTTCTTACATTTTCCTGTGACTTTGGAAACTAAACCATTGCGTGTCTTGTAACGTCCTCGTCAAGCTGCTGCTCAGCAGCTCCCTGCAGGAGGATGCGGAGCAGATGCGTCCTGTGCCTGGGTGCCTGCCGGGTCAACCTGGGGCCTGCAGGGGTGCGCCTGGGGGCTGCTGAGCCTGGTTTCTGTACACACCTGTTTGAGCTTTTCTGTAGTTGATGCTGTAAAACTCTATGGCTTTTTAAAAACAATTTCATGTTTTTATTTAGTATTGGAAATCCAATACACTTTTTTAATCCAATCAAATTCTGGTCTGGTGGAAGAGTTTGTTGTTCTCTTTATTCTCGTTTTCCTTAAGAGGACTTTGGGGCCCTGGTTCCCTGGCGTGTGATTGACTTCATCCTTGTCCTATGAAGCCAGGAGCTCAGAGTGGCCTTCAGGGAGGCCCAGTAAGAGAGCAGGAAGTTGCAAGGTTGTCCTTCAGCCACAAAGATGAATCCCGTCTCTGTCCTCACCCCATTCTGCCTGCCTGCTGAGGACTGAGTAGCCTGTGGAAGCTACGGTGGCACCAAAGAGGCACGTGACCCCAGCAGAAAGTTGGGGTTGCTTCTGATTAGTGTGAAGGTACGAATCCTGCCAGCAGCTCCTTCTGTTGGCAGACAGGCTGAGCAACCACTCTGGGCCTGGGTCCCTCCACCTCCTCCCTGACATCCAAGGTACCTTCCTTTCTCAGCCTGCTTGAGCCATTCTGATTGAGCTCACTTTAGATGCTTTGTTTAAGAGTTTATAAAATTCAAGGGAATGGAATCTGAAACCAAAAGTCTGTCCAGTCAGCCCATGCCCCATCAGGCTCCTACTCCAGGCTCCTAGTGCTACAGCCTCCAAGATGTGTAGCCCTGTAACACTAATGAGAAACACACAAATTGTCTGTGCATGTGCTGTTCCCTCTGCCTCAAATGCCCTCTTTGCTGCAAAGTCATTTCTTAAAACTGAGTCTAAAGAAGGCCTCTGTCCCTAACAGCTAATCCCATCCTGACAGCCAGAACCCTGCCAGTGCCGGCCACCATCCCTGCATCTCTAGATGGAATCCTTGGCACATTTGACAGTGACTTACTTGAGTCTTTTTCCACTGGACTGTGAACTCAGTGAGGAACAATCATTTCATCTCTCTGAGTGCCTTGTTCCAGGGCCCTGTGACGGTGACTGTTTGTTTCCTGCACAGGTGATGGTGTGATGGGGTGAGGATGTAGTCAGTCTTGAAGACTTATAACCTAGAGCAGCCAGGTCCATCACACCTACCCCTCCTGGGGAAATGTCTAGCCTTCTGAAGTCCTAATGTTACTGGTAATAGACTGGTTTGGGGTAGTCAGTGGCCCTTATGCAACCTGGGTAAGCCAAAAAGGTAGCCAAGATGTGTGAGCCTGGCAAAATAATAGGAAATAAAGCTGATGCCACAGTGGGTCCTGAGATCAAGGAGAAGAGCATCCACAAAATTAGCTCTAAGATGAACATGAGAAACGCTGTGTACAAAGAATAAATTCCCTCTTCCTATATTCCAGCCTAGGATTCATAGATTGATTGAAAAGATATCTTGAGATCAATACCATATACTCTCATTTGAGGGCAACTGTAGTTTTAAATAGAATCACCACCAATATTTCAGACTTCTAAAAAGTGAAATTCTAAAATCACTTTTTCCCTCAAGTGCTGCCTCATCCCTTCCTCTGTTAGCTGGGAATGAGCTCAGCTTGGCCCGTAAAACATGGAGCTGCCAACCAAAAGGCCGCATGGCTCAGTAGTTCGAATACACCATGGGAGTTACATGGGCTGTCTCCTCCCTTTAAGATTTACAGCTTCTTCTGAACCCAGTGGTGGATCACTATGGTTCTGAATCAACTCAGTAGCAGTGAATTTGGTCTTAGCGTTTTCTTGTTTGAGTTTTGAGGTTATTTTATTTGGCCAGGGGTTGTTTTTTATTGTGTGTTGCTTTGTTTGGCATTTGTTTTAGTTTAGCAGTTTGATATCTTAGAAAGGAGAAGAACTAACAAAGCATTTTCTCAGGCCACAATTCATAGAATTAGAAATCAACAACAACAACAAAAAAAAAAGGATAAAGAAGAAAAAAAAATTAACCTGGAAGCTAAATAACACCCAACTTGAACGCTATTGGTTAGTAGAAGAAATAAAAAAAATATTTAAAAGTTTCTTGAAACAAAAATGAAAGCATAACTTACCACAAACTCTGCGATACAACAAAAGCAGTGCTTAGAGGTCAATTCATAGCAATAAGCCAACACATTAAAGGGGGAAAAAGCAATTAAAAATTATTATTTAATGCAAAACCATCAACTAATAGAAGAAAAAGAACAGTAAACAAACCCCAGAACTTATAAAAAAAAGAAAATTGTTAAAATAAGTTGTTGTTGATGTTATATGCCATCAAGTTGCCTGCAACTTATAGCAACCCTATGTACAACGGCCCTAAACTCTGCCTTATCCTGTGCCAGTCTCACCATCTCTGACACACCTACCCCCATCACTCCAGTCACTGAATCAATCTGTCTCATCAAGGGTCTTCCTCTCCTGCACTATCCCTCCACCCTCCCAAACATGATGTCCCTCTCCAAGAACGGGTCCCTCCTTGCAACACGTCCGAAGTATGTCAGACAAAGTTTCAGAATCCTTGCCTCCAAGGAGCAGCCCATCTTCACTCTCTACAGGACAAACCTGTTTGTTTTCCTAGCAGTCCATGGTATATTCAATACTCTTCTCCAACCCCACAGCTCAAAGGCATCAATTCTTCTGTCATCCTTAGTCATTGTCCAGCTCTCTGATGCATGTAACATAGACCATGGCATGTATCAGGCACACCTTAGTCTCCAGACTGGCATCTTTGCACTTCAGCACTTTAGAGAGGTCTCTAACTGCAGACTTTCCCATCGCAACATGTCTTTTAATTTCCTGGCTTCTGGTGCCAAAAGTGTTGACTGTGGATCCAAGCAAACCAAAACTCAACAATCTCAATCTCTTCACCATCTATTACGATGCTACCAATTGGCCCAGTGGTGAGAATCTTTGTTTTCTTGAGTTTGAGCTTCAATCCATACTGAAGACTGCAGTCCCTGACCTTCCTCAGCAAGTGCTTCAGGTCCTCTTCAGTTTCAGCAAGCAGGGCTGTGTCATCTGCATAATGCTGATTGTTGATGATTCTTCCTCCAATCCTGATGCCAACATTTCTCCTCATAGAGCCCAGCCTCCTGGATAACCTGTTCTGCATAAAGATTGAAAAGGTATGGAGACAGGATACAGCCCTGGCATACACCCTTCTCAAATTTGAACCATGCAGTGTTTCTTTGCTCTGTTCGGACGACTGCCTCCTGGTCCAAGTATAGGTTTCACATTAGCACAAACAAATATTCTGAGATTCCCATTCTTCTCAGAGTTAGCCACAGTTTGTTATGATAAGAGCAGAAATTAATAGAAAATGCAAACAGTTGAAACTAGGAAAACTAGAAAGTGTCAATAAA